GGGAGCCGCAGGTTCGAAAAGTCCTGCGACTCCAACCGCCCATATGGCCACTACGACTGTAAAAGTTGGTGGTATGACATGCGGGGCGTGCACATCTGCAGTGGAATCAGGATTCAAAGGTGTCGATGGTGTCGGAAATGTATCAGTGAGCTTGGTAATGGAAAGAGCTGTGATTATTCACGATCCGGAAAGAGTACCGGCAGAGAAGATACAAGAAATTATCGAGGATCGTGGCTTTGATGCAGAAGTACTGGCTACAGATTTACCATCTCCAATGTTTAACAGAAATGAACTCAGCGACGATGCCAGCGACATTTCCGACGACGAAGATACGAAGAATGCAGCCACAACTACAACAACGTTGGCCGTAGAGGGGATGACATGCGGGGCTTGCACATCAGCAGTAGAAGGGGGCTTCAAAGATGTGCCGGGTGTCAAGACTTTCAGTATATCATTACTGTCGGAGAGGGCAGTGGTCGAACACGATGCTTCAATACTGAGCGCCGAACAAATTGCAGAAATCATAGAAGATAGAGGGTTTGGGGCAACTATCGTCGAATCAAATACAGCTACCACTGCTTCACGAGCTCGCAAGTCCCGCCGGGATAGCTCTTCGAAGAAAGAAAAGGTCGCTACAACTACTATTGCTATTGAAGGAATGACTTGCGGTGCCTGCACATCCGCCGTGGAAGGTGGATTTAAGGATCTCGATGGTCTCATACAATTCAATGTCAGTTTACTGGCAGAACGGGCTGTAGTCATCCATAACCCCTCCAAACTATCTGCAGAAAAGATCGCCGAGATTATCGAAGATAGAGGGTTCGATGCCAAGATTGTATCCACACAATTAGGTTCCGGTCAGCAGCCAACAGCTACCACATCACAGTTCAAGTTATTTGGAGTAGCGTCTGCGACTGATGCAACAGCTTTAGAGGCCAAACTTTCATCACTACCGGGTGTCAATTCTGCAACAGTCAGTCTTGCCAAAAATCGTCTAACAATTTCCCATCAGCCAAATATCGCTGGGTTGCGAGCTTTAGTTGACCTCATCGAGTCTCAGGGTTACAATGCCTTGGTCGCCGACAATGATGACAACAATGCTCAGCTAGAGTCTCTTGCAAAAACTAAAGAAATCACCGAGTGGCGTACAGCTTTCAGGACCTCTCTGAGCTTTGCAATTCCAGTCTTTTTAGTCAGCATGGTGTTTCCCATGCTTATCCCATTTTTGGATTTTGGAAGCTATGTTGTCCTCTTCCCAGGATTATACCTCGGTGATATCATTTGTTTACTCCTTACAATACCCGTTCAATTTGGCATTGGAAAGCGGTTTTACATTTCTGCATACAAGTCTATGAGGCATGGTTCACCTACGATGGATGTGCTAGTCGTTCTTGGGACTTCTGCCGCTTTCTTTTTCAGTGTTGCAGCCATGATCGTTTCTATTCTCCTTCCCCCGCACACTCGACCAAGCACTATTTTCGACACAAGCAGTATGCTTATTACATTCATCACTTTAGGACGATTCCTTGAAAATCGAGCAAAGGGCCAAACCTCGAAAGCACTTTCTCGACTCATGTCTTTGGCTCCTTCCATGGCAACTATTTATGCTGATCCAATTGCTGCAGAGAAGGCAGCTGAGGATTGGAATACAAATGAACCAAAAGCCGATCACTCTCAGGAAGGTAATGCTGCAGAAGAAAAGGTCATTCCCACAGAGCTTATCCAAGTTGGTGATATTGTCATTCTACGTCCCGGTGATAAAATTCCTGCTGATGGAACCGTCACTCGAGGTGAGACCTATGTGGATGAAAGCATGGTTACCGGTGAGGCAATGCCGGTCTTGAAACGAAAAGGAAGTCTACTTATTGGAGGTACTGTGAATGGTGCTGGTAGAGTTGACTTCCGTGTTACACGTGCTGGTCGAGACACTCAATTGAGTCAAATTGTGAAGTTGGTGCAAGACGCCCAGACTACACGGGCACCTATTCAAAGACTCGCTGATACCATTGCCGGCTACTTTGTGCCATGCATTCTTTGCCTGGGATTTCTCACATTCTCAATATGGATGATTCTCAGTCATGTCCTCCCGCATCCACCCAAGATTTTCGTGGATGAAAAGAGTGGTGGGAAGTTCATGGTTTGTGTCAAACTCTGTATCTCGGTTATTGTTTTTGCTTGTCCTTGCGCTTTGGGTCTTGCAACCCCCACTGCTGTGATGGTAGGGACTGGCGTGGGTGCAGAGAATGGAATTTTGGTCAAAGGTGGTGCTGCTCTTGAGACTGCTACTAAGATTACGCAAGTTGTTCTTGACAAGACTGGCACAATTACAGAGGGAAAAATGAGCGTTGCCAAGATCAATTTGGTTTCCCACTGGAAAGACAATGATTCGCAGAAGAAACTCTGGTGGACAATCGTTGGCTTATCCGAAATGGGTAGTGAACATCCTATCGGTAAAGCTATACTTGCTGCTGCTAAAGAAGAACTTGGAGTGGGTTCCGACGGTACTATCGATGGAAGCATTGGTGATTTCGAAGCTGCTGTTGGGAGTGGTATTAGTGCCTTGGTTGAGCCGGCTATCAGCAACGAACGTACTCGTCACAGAATCTTGGTTGGTAATGTTCGCTATCTCAAACAGAATAATGTATCTGTACCCCAAGATGCTATTGAGTCTTCCGAGGAAGCAAACGTCAAAGCTGCCGGATCGTCTAAAACTTCATCAGCTGGCACAACCAACATCTTCATTGCCATTGATGGTTCTTACTCTGGCCACCTGTGTCTTGCCGATACTGTAAAAGATAGCGCCGTCGCAGCCATTGCAGCACTCCATCGCATGGGCATCAAAACAGCCATTGTCACAGGTGATCAACGACCAACAGCTCTTGCAGTCGCACGCATCGTTGGTATACCTTCTAAAAATGTTCACGCAGGAGTGACCCCTGATCAAAAACAAGATATCATTCGCAAGCTCCAGTCTCGCGGAGAATGTGTTGCAATGGTAGGAGATGGAATCAATGATTCTCCTGCCCTCGCCACCGCAGATGTTGGTATTGCCATGGCTGGTGGTACCGATGTTGCCATGGAAGCAGCGGATGTCGTCCTCATGCGACCAAATGATCTTATGGACATTCCCGCGTCTATTCAACTTGCCCGTTCCATTTTCAATCGTATCAAGCTCAATCTAGGCTGGGCATGCGGTTACAATATCATTGGTCTTCCTTTCGCCATGGGTATCTTCTTACCTTTCGGATTCCATCTACATCCCATGGCAGCAGGCGCAGCAATGGCATTTAGTAGTGTAAGTGTAGTAGGCAGTAGCCTGTTATTGAAGTTCTGGAAGAGACCAAGGTGGATGGATGATGCATTATTAGAAGAAAAGGGACAATTAAGAAAGAAGGGTTCCGGATGGGGCTTTGGGGGATGGAGTGGAAAAGTTACGGATGCGTATAGAGCTGTTGTTGGAAGATATAGACGAGATGAAGGAGGATATGTACCTTTGAATACTCTCGAACCTGTTTAAGTTCGAGTTGGATATTGAATTGAAGTTTATTGGTTTTTTTTGCGATATATCCAGTTTTGTGTTGGAACTTTTTATGAGTTTACCATGTAGATGTACTCGTTTGTGGACACATGATAGTTGAAGCTATTTGTACATTGTATGATTCTATTTTATTTCTGTCTAAACACAGAATTTATACAGAAACATAGGAATATATAAGATTGGGAACTTTACTTACTTTATGAAAAACATCGAACGGAAGTTATACAAGCGCCACAATGTTGATAATAATTTAATACATCATTTTATTGGATCAGAGTCTGAAATAGCAGTGTATTGTCTATACTTTCAACTCGAAATAAAGGAAAAACAATTTCCCATTTCCCATTTATTTCCACGATCATCTCCATCTCGTTGCTCTATTTCGTGTCACGATTCTCCCCCAAAAAAAAACACCATTTGGTGGTGGGTTAGGGTTAGTAGTAAAGATAAGATCTCCTATCTGTGTGTTCTTATGTCCTTACAAATAATCATCTATTTTATTGCATTGCAGATATGTAGATTCGCTTTCTCCTTTCTTCTATTACCTGTCACCTAGGTAGTAGGTAGTAGGTAATAGGTAATAGGTAATAGATAGTAGGTAGTAGGTAGTAGATAGTAGATATCTCGCCTTTGCTATATATGTCACGGCACCAAGCATTTTAGCGAACGCGGCACAGCAGATCCAAGACTACTACCAGGCTGATTTCGTAAAAGCTTGAAAAATTACCTTGTCCTTCGTTGTACAGGAACGCCTTCCTACGAAAATTGATTTTTGAATGATTACGAGTACGTATCCTATCAAGACGTTTTCGCACCTGCTTGCCGTCTTGTAAGATTAATTTCCGAGATGAGTATCGTGATGTGGGTGTGAGTGTGAGTGTGAGCGTCCGAGGGAATAAGAATAAGAATAAGAATATGGAGGGGTTGTTTTGGTGGCAATATTGATACCGGTGTTCGGGATTGGGATTGGGGGGTTTCGCATGATCTTGGGTTTGGAGGTGAGATTTGTGTTGCTTGGGATGGAGTTGGGGATGCATTGGGTGTATGGGGGTGATGAGACAGATCCCCTTTTGAAGCGAACCTGTTATTTATTTTAGATGTATGTATGGAATGGATGGAATGTATTGAGTGGTAGGTGAGATGAGATGAGATGAGATGTCGTAAATCGGTGTTTGGTAAGAGCGAAGTTCCGAGTTTGTTTTTCTTTTTTTCTGGTTGTATGGATTTACTTTTACTTATTTTTAATTTGCTTGGAGTGTATAGGATGATACGCTATATGGATGTGGTAGGATTTTGCGGCTGGGTTAGATGGAGCTGAGTTGAGTCCTGGGAGTGAAGTTGGGTTCGTCGTTGAGTATATGATTTGAGATTAGATTCTTTTTCTGGGAGGGGGCGTATGTTTGTCATATCTTCGGGGTTTGTTTCTTTTAACCTCTTGATGGATAATTATTGGTAAGCTTAAGATTATGGACGAGAATGCGATGGGAAAATGAATGGGAATTATTGAATGTTGTGTATCGTGCAAGGTGAGTTGACTAGATCCGATGTTTGAGAATGAATAGGAATTAGTTTTTATAGATTTGGGAGTTTGGCTTCATGGTTTTCTTTTTGTCTTGTAATACTTTCATTCTGTGTTATTGAGGGTTGTTTTCATGAATTTGTACATCCATTTCGGGGCTGTTTCTTATCGTTATTTGTCTCTGTGGTGAAATTTGATATAAGTGTTTGGGTTATAACGTATCTCCTTTTCATTGTTGTACGAGAGTTAAGTGATACAATTGTATCGTTCGTGTCGCCGGACGAGAGGACTTGGTAGTTTTAAAACTTCTTAGGAAACTATTTTCAAGAGGTATCTTTGTGCTCTTACAACATAAAATCTTTTCTTCCCTTTCTTTGTTGGAAGGTAAAGTGGCTTCGAATAGGACAAATGTAAGTTATCTTAGTCTTTTTACCATCGTATCATCACTCTTTTTCTTATGTCTTCATTTCACCACACTTTTCCACTACTCTACACAGTTTACTCACAGAAATCGAATCTGTTTACTAACACCTTCCACCCAGATGTCACCACCCTATCCACAAAGAAACGCCATCATAGGCCTCACACCCACTCGCAATGTTGACATTCCACTCAGCACCATCTTCATGCTCCTCTTCCTCCTCGCCGCAATAATCCACATGACACTCCTCCAAATAAATTTCCGACGCGGCCAAAAATTCCTCATGTCAGGCATGGCATTTGGCTTCTCCTTTTCTCGCGTCATCACCTGCATTCTACGTATAGTCTGGGCCTCCTATCCTACCAACATCAAAATCGCGCTCGCGGCTCAAGTCTTCGTTGCGGCAGGTACTATATTACTATTTCTCATCAATATCATCTTCACCAGTCGCTTGTTGAGGGCCTATCATGCGTGGGCTTGGAATCCATGGATCCGGAATACTTTTCGAGCGGCGTATGTGAGTTTATTCGTGGGACTGATTGCGAATATTTCTGTTTTGGTAGAGAATTTCTTCACGCTCGATGCGCATGTTTGGTGGATTGATCGTGTGGTGACGTTGGTTGTTAGTACTTATTTTGCCGTTTATGCTTTTATGCCTATTCCGCTTTTGGCTTTGAGACTCTTACTTCCACGTGGGAAACGGGTGGAGAAATTCGGAACTGGAAGCTTTCGTACGAAGATTAGAGTGGTGCTCTTCGTATCTGTTTTGCTTACTCTAGGAGCAGCCTTTAGAGCAGGTACGGCTTATAGACCCAGGGGAATTGATGATCCGGCTTGGTATCATAGTAAAGCTTGTTTTATATTTTGATTTTGGCATCGAGATTGTGGTACTTTATGTATTTGCGGCGATGAGGGTGGATAGGAGATTTATTGTTCCGAATGCGACGAAGGTGGAAGGGATTTCAGGAAGGGGGAGGGCGGGATGCCGGTGAAGGGGAGGAGGGCGAAAGGAGGTTAGGTGGGAGTGGATGAGGGATGGAAGGGGAATGGAGGGAGTGGAGGTTGAGGAGAAGAGGATGAGTGCACAAACACGGAGGGAGAAAAGAAATAATGGAGGAGGGAGAGACAGAGACGGCGGTTGGTAGTAATGCTAGTGGAGGGTTACACCGGAGGTTAGAGAGGATGTTAATGTTGATGCTGATGTTGAGAAAGGTAGTAAGTGAGATGGACTATGAGAGATTGCCAAAAAGTCGCTAGATTGTACATAAACAAGAACTATAGATATATAGGCAGTAATCAACGATGTCGATGTGCTGATGCACCAAATACAGAGAGGCATACGCCGCAGTTAAGTACTTAGCATCCATCAAGTAGATAATGAAGCTTTTACACCTCGTATACGTGACCCAACTCCGAACTTTTGAACCTCCAAATTCGAAGATAACGATGGTGGAGATTGTAGATGAGACATTGGTATTTTGGTTATGGTATGTAGTAATTGATACGTGGATGCGTCTGCCTTCCTTCTCTGGATGGGTAGATGGGTAGATGGGTACGGAAAGGGCTTAATAAAGTTAGAGCTAGACTACGAGTTCGGATGTCCGTGGTTTTGTGGTATTGCCGGTATTGCTGGTGGTACCGGGTACAATTTAAACTGGATTTAGGGTAAAAGGTAAAGGGTAAAGGTGAATGGGAAAAGGCAGGATATTTGAGGATTTCTGGATTTCCGGATGTAAGATTTGTTCATCTAGATTCGCTCTAGATAAAAGGTATATAGCATGGTGACCGTTCCGAATTGTTAAACATTTGGAAGCAAAGACGTATAACTGTTCGTAGCCTTGAACTAGCTAGCTTTCGAATGGATAGTAATCTTAGATTCCGATAGCGCAGACCTAATCTATGCTTGTTATATGTAACTAGGTAGGTTCTCGATAATTGTACTGGAGAGGGATATGGTGTTATAGGAACAGCAACACTTGTTGTTTCCTTGATTTATTGTGAAGAGCGGGTGTAGATAATATAATGATTTCCAAAACATTCGGGCATGTAACTGCAGTTGAGTATGTCCAAATTACCAAGCGAATTTTCCACCTTCGCATATGATCAAGCTTTGATATTCGGATCTCCTTACCTTTCAGATTGTGGTAATGGTTGTTGACAGCTTGAGATGCCCAGTCATGTGGGAAAGTTGATCCTTCGCTTGTAGAATATTTGCACAAGGTAGATTAGAGAATACTGTGTAGGCACATCGTCTATTACGAGCTGACTCGCAGGGTGTATGGTGTATATACGATGGCTATTTCTAACTCTAGCAGTGTATGTGAGCTTGATATTCGTGCAATACATTGGCTGTTATAAGGAGAAGTGTGTGGGCGGACGGTACTATAAGAAGCGAGCATATGTTCTTGGCGATCTCCCCCCTTAATCTGGTAACTTGAGTTTACTGACAGATATGGAACCTCTGGAAAAGATCTGTACTCGCCATAACTTTCTAGATAAGAAGCTTAAAATAGCCAGTTGAGGAAAGTGGCATACGTCTGTTGTCAATCAGAATTATTGCTAGCACTAGAATTATGACCGTGGTTGGTCGTTTGCAGATATACCCAGGTAGATGAACAGTATGTGAATATCAATAGGGCATTCATTTCTCCCACGGGAGGATGTATAATCCTGCAACGATGACATTGATGTGCTTCAAGGGCAACAACAACGACAAAGAAGAAGATATACGGTCCTGCAGGAGCTGGAATATGCTGTACGACTTTGGGTCGTCGGTATCTGTGCTGGTGGTGGCTGTCACGTGCAACGGAACAAGATAAAAATGGAGTTGCCGTTTAGATTATGACGTTTTTAGCCCTGCATCCTTGCATTATGTTATGCACTTAAGATCCTTGCATTATTTTATGCACCCAGATGTGCGACAAAGCTTCACTTATTATAACCTTATGTTTACTACAGAACACCGCTTGAACATTCAAACATACAAACATACAGACATACAGACATACATACGGACGATTATATTGATTTATTATACTTTAAATGTAACTTCATTCCTACTGAACCCCTTTATTGATCTACACCTCAAAATAATGACAAGTCCTGCTGGAAAACGCGGACCATCAGTCTTGGTATGAGCGAAGCCAAACATTGAATTCCGATTGACGAATAATTACATTTTTCCTAATTCTGTCTTAGGTTACTGATTCTCGGGAACGCCAACGCCCTTCCATAGCTCGAAATAATTCCCAGCGACCAAATGTCAATGGCTCGAATGCGCCTAGACCAACAAGATTCATTTCCGTAGATAATGTTTTACAATATGCCTCTCAAATCCCATCAGGTCAAGCTCGAGGACCACCAGGACGCAGACCTCAAGCTTCAGACCAACGTCGTGCAAGTGGTCCAATATCGGCACGGATCGCACAACAGAATGTTCCAGGAAGGAGTACAAAGACTAGCGAAAAATTGGTCCTGATTCCAGATACGTTAGATGAAAAGGATGATTCTGATACGGACGATATACTTGATGCCGAAAGCGAACCGCGAATTCATGGTGATGCTGGACCTCCGACAGATACCGAAAGAGATATACTAAAGAAGAGGGGTGGTATACGAGGAAAGAGTTATGCGGAACGATTACCCAAGGCGAGGAGAGCAAATGAGTTGGCTAGGGTTACTGCATATTGCACGGCACAAGCATACAAAACGAAGGATACGGCTACGTTTGTTAAGGAAAGACACGGGGCTAAGACAAAGTTATACGATGATTGTCTCTATACCGTTTACCATTTACCTTTGTTACCGGGTACCGAGGGATTCAGAGTAAGGAGTAGTCCGGTTCTAAAAAGTCCAGGTGGAAAAGCGGTATTGGATGAAGAAATAGAGAGGAGTGAGAACAGAGACTATCATGAGGGATATTTCGAGGATACGGATACATACGGTGTAAGGGGAGGGGAGGATAGTCCACGAAATGAATCCGACGAGGACAGACTCAGAAGAGAAGCAGAGGCCCGAAGAGGTAGGGAGGAAACTCATATTTTTGAACAAGGCAAGAGAGCGGACAGTCCAAATAGAGTCGCACCGGATGCGACAACTTTCGCAGAGATGTTTGTCTTCTCATATGGGGTGGTAGTATTTTGGAATTTTACGGAGCGTCAGGAAAAAGATATCCTTGCAGATTTTGCATTTGCGGCACACAACACAGATGTGTCGCTTGTTGTCCGACCACAAGAAGAAGAAGATCTCGAAACAGAAGAGCTTCATTTTGAGTATAATTCTTTCGTTGACAGACCTCGAATTTTCAATGATATGATTACCTTGAGAAGTGGTGATCATATGATTAAGTTGGCGATGAGTCATGCTATTGCCCAAAGTACGAAGTTGAGCTTTTTCGAGGAGCGAATGTCACAGACTATGCTGAGTGCAGAACATGTTCCTAAGCACTTGGCTTTAACAGGTCAACTTGGTATGTCTCGTACAGAAATTCTTAAGATCCTTGGTCGTCTCTTCAAGAGTAGGGTTGATGTCAATCTTTGTAAGTTGTTCCACCCTTGTGCATAACTCCATACTGATATTCTGGCAGCATCAAATATTCTTGATGTTCCCAGCTTCTTTTGGGATTCAGAGCCCACGCTACATCCACTCTATGAAGCTATTCGAGAGTATTTAGAGATTGGTCCACGTATCACGACGCTCAATGAACGTTGCAGAGTTTTCTTAGACTTGGCAGAAGTTTTAAGTGACAACATCGCAGATACAAAGATGAGCACAATCACATGGATTGTCATCATTTTGATCGTCATCAGCATAGCCGTCACAGTCACAGAAGTAGGCATAAGATTTATAATATTGGAAAAAGCAGGTGGAGGAAACCCTGCGAGGGCATCTACGGATAGGAATTGGTCGCAATTCGATTTTAGTGCTCCACAATTGGAAGCAATATGTGGAACTGGAAGGTCTGCCGAGCTCTAAACTGAGAGTTGGCTGTAATTATTGCATCTTGGCCAGGCTTACTTCTTTCTGTATACCTCCCGGCTTAGGGTGGGGAGCGTATGGAACTCGACTTTATAATGTGCTTGTAGATATCGCACAATGATAATGAGCGTTCATATTAATTAGATGGATAGTTTAGAACTATCCCAAAGCTTCATTACAAATTTTTTAATAGATTAATTAATACACCCGTGCTACTAGAATATTATGTGCCAAATTTCTGCTCCATCATTCTCGACGAACGATTAGTTCTTCTCCTAGCGGAGCGTTACTCCCGACTTGAATAATTTCTCTCCTCCATGAAGTATCGTGATGGCGAAGCGTCTAGCCCACCTGTGATTATCTGCCCTGCCCACATACCTTTTATTGTTCACCTGTTGTACCGGTCTTGGTGCATATCGTGAGTTTCTATAGAGTTCCATGCAATTAGATCAGGCCTTGTTGCTCCCGTAGATGACTCACTATTAATTTATTATTGATTAGCTCTTTCCAAAAACCTCATCTCATCTCGGTATGAGTTTTGTTCTTTAAGAGGATATGAGTTTTGTTGTGTGAGGATGAGGGACTATTATATAAGAGCAAGGGAGCGTGGTTTGAACTTTGAATAGATCGATGATGAGAGATCGAGTTTGAGTCCTTGGAAGGTGGAACGAGAGTAGGATTTCGCTCTTTTATCAAGGACTACATCATTTCCATGGTTGTGTCGTTGTAACCGCCTTAGATTAATGATATTAGGGTGTCTTTTTGTTTAGTTTTCATGTCAATTGCCTAGACCATACCATACCAGAAGATAAAAGAAATGGGAGTTGCCAGGTTTCAGCCTTTCAGGACTAGTTGTTTCTTCTAATTTCTGCTTTGATTGTTCATAACCTTGTCAATGTTTAAAGTACTTGGACTTACCAACTATAGTATCGGCATAGTATGCGAAAATAGTAGGTTGATCTGCTCAAGTGTCTTGTCAATATTTTCAGCGGTATACCGGATATTCTCTTACATAATGCAATGACTCCTCATGATTACCACACACACTAGCTAATAAGGCTATGTCCATGTCCCACCAGCTATCATATCCATCCGAAGGGGCGTTTCCTAGCACACCGGTATGATGGCTGCCCTTTAGCACAGTACGTACCATCCTCATCTTCCGACTGGTTTATGCGCGTCCCAATAACCGAAAGGGAATATATGCAGGATGGAGGATTGAATCGAGCGCGTTATCCCATGATCTAGATGAGGCGGCGGGTTACAGAAAGGAAATTTCGCGGATGAGAATGTCCAACGCGCTGATTGTGAATACCAGGATTTCTCCAGCAAATTATATTCAAGAGGAAATGGCTGATCAGATCCCGCTCCACCCTACACGGTTCGGCCTTCATCTCTCCTTCTTTGCGGCAAGTCTCTTAGCTTTCTCTTGGGCGCATTTCCATTGTTAGCAGCTGCTTTCTTTAAGCCTTCTTGGATTTCTATTAGACCTTTCTTCGTGGCCGGCTTATCATTCGTAGCTGGCGCATTATTCGCATACTAATCACTGATAATCAGGATCCGTATAGCCGGAAATTTGCAATGATCGGTGACTTTGAGGAAAGCAATCCCACACTGAAATGTTTCACGACGGGCCTTGCAGTATATCAACATTCCCATATTGCATCCTCCATGACTCCGCCTAGGACAATGATGTGGTTCTACCATGGTAAATGGTTGGCTTGTAGTGAGATGTACTAACGGAATGAGCCGTATTGTGCCCTTTGGTCGAGTTCGCGAGTATTTAGGGGGGTGTTGTTGTGATGAAGGGATTAATGGAAAGTTTGTTGTGATAGAAGACTAGCAAGATCTGTTGTTTACGCTGAGGTTGTGCTACAAAGAAGGAAGCAGTCTTAGCGATAAACTCAATAGTATATAAGTCTCGGCGGTTTAAATTTTTGCAACCAGAAACATTATCAAGAGAGATTGATCACCTTATTAAGGCTCAAATGGACGGTTGATGAAACAAACACGTCGCCAGTCATGATCAGACCCGTACCTAATGATAAAAATGCTGGTGTAATTAAGATATTATAGCCTAAATTTACAGTAAATTGATTTGTGGAAAAAAAAAAAAGAAAGATTCAAAAAGTCTTATTGATTTGATTCAATTAGACTGAAAAATTACGAAGGAGTAAACCATCGGATAGGCTAGCCTCGAAAAAGGGGGTTTAGCGAAAAATCGTGACCGGATTCATATGAGACTGTAAAGCAATTTAACATCTCATGCAATCTTAGATGTGATTATATTTGTAGCTCATAACTCACCAATACATCCAGGAAGGAACTACACAACCGCACAGAAAAACATAACGATAGGTGAGAAAACTAACTATAGCAAAAACACTATAATCATATACTCTACTCTACTCCACACCCTCCACACACTCTAAGAAGCTACTACGAAGAACTTGAGCATACACTCACTCACTCATTCACTCATTCACTCGTCCATATAGAATCAAATCAAATGAGAAGAAATGGGCGTCTTCTACTAAAGGAGGTATATCTCAACACTGTTCAAGGATGAGTATAGTCTTACGACTCTATAGATTTAAGGCTGAATGACGAAGTGATTTTACCTCGAGCTTCGAGATGACCAGAGATACTAACGACAAGAAGTGGATATGACTTAATAATCTTGGAAGTTATAACTAGAGATAATTAATAGTCTAGTCGCCTGTTGAAAGAGGTGAATAAACGGAAAGATAAAAGATGAAAGATAACAGAATCTAATAGAGGTAATTTTAGAATTTTACATACCACAACAAAGGTAAGGTTAACTCAACTTGCAAAAGCAAGCAAGCAAGCGATCACTTCGAATTTCACTCCCCCTCCCCCCAAAAGAGACCACGCAAAACTTCCCCCTCTCCCCCTTCTCCCACAAAATCCACAAAATCCACAAAATCCAAACAAATCCACTCCAAAAAAACCAACATCTACAGCTTCCTACACAAAATCCCACACAGCATCCTACCCAGCATAAACTAATCCCATGGGCCAACCCGCAAAATCATAAAATCATAAACTCTTACATCCAAATTCTAAATTCCAAGCTCTACCTCCTATCATATCAACACACTATATACATCACCAACTCTATCCACCTCTATCCATCTAGTACTCCGTACTCCGTATTCACCTATTGCCCACTTCTATTTCCACTTCTATATCTACTCAACTAAGTGCAAAACATACAACCAATACTACCCATCCATAATTACTCTCATCTCATCTCATCTCATCCATCCACCCACCCCCCAACCAAATATTCTTCAAGCAAAGCCACAAATAATCAGTATTTAGATAAATAGAATTTCATCTTACACCGTACACCTTACACCTACACCTACACATACAGCCTACATTCATAAAGCAAGAAGGAATAACACCCAACATTCAATTATTCATTTTCACAGAAACCCGAACTCGAACTCAAACCAAAACTCAAGCTCAAGCTCAAGCTCAAGCTCTCTCACCTTACTCATAAATCTAATCCATAATTCATAATCCTAATCCTCTTCCTCTTCCCCTTTCTTGTTTCAATCCTTGCAAGTCTACTACTTTATCTAATAGATCTATTAAGATCTAAGATCTGAGTTGATGGTGATCGCGCTAGCGAAATCACAATATGGACTGGAAAGAGTGAAATGAGTGAAATGTGATGATTGAGTGCACCAGTGGTTGATTCTCTTTATATTTTCCATAGCTCTTTTTTTTCAAATGGAAAATAAGCATAATACATTACTCCTTAACACCCAATATAAAGCGCTTAATTCATTGAAGCCATTAAATCCTCGTGATTGCTTGAAAGCGAATATGAAGGCTATCCATAAAATCCTGATATCAACATTGCCCCCTGCGCAAAAGAATCTAGCTGAGTAATTGCTCAATGGCACCCTGTACACTTCCTCCACTCCTTCTTAAGGCTTCCACGTTTCTGTCAAAATCGAAAAATCCCATATCATTCAATTGTCTAAGTTGATCGGCGTATCTCTCTTCAGGTGGTCTTGTGTCTGCTGGAGCTGCAGGAGCACCTGGAGCTGCACCACCCATTCCGCCCATACCTCCCGTACCCCCAAATCCACCAGCGCCAAACATATCCCCAAAAGATCCGTTTCGCATCATTTCCATTGCTTGTTGTATTTGTTCTGGTGTTGGTTGTGGCATTCCTTGAAACGGATTAAACCCCGGTCCACCTGCTCCTACACCGGCACCGGCACCGGCACCTGCTCCTCCGAATAATGAAGCGAAAGGATTTTGTGAATTGGCATCGGTACCAGTTGACGGTGTTCCTCCAGCAGAAGCGGCAGCTGGGGGAGTTTGGGCAGGAGTATGACCAGCGGCAGTTGCTCCCGGTCCACCGAAAAGTGATGCGAATGGATTACCAGCGCCTCCAGCAGGCATCGCAAAAGGATTGAAAGGTGGTATGTTGGCCTGACCACTTCCTGGTGTGCTCCCCGCAGCTCCAGCTGGTGTCGTATCCGTAACTCCCGGCGCGGGAAAACCGCCAGCTCCGCCTCCTGCCATTTGTCTTCTCATCGCAGCAGCTTGACGAAGAGCGTTTGGATCTGTAAGCATGTTTCTGAACATTGGCGATTGTAACATTTCTCGCGCATTTGGCATATTTCTAAGCATCGGAGTGTTTTGAATCATCATATTGACAAGGTCTGGATTGTTGAGAGCTTCGTTCATCGTTTGGCGAATGTTGGGATCATCCATCATTTGAGCGATCGCGTCTTCACTCGGAGGTGCACCCATCTGCGAAGATGTTAGTATCAGCAGATTGTTGATCGCAAAAATACGTACTCCACCATCTGCGCCAAACATCTCAGCACCTGGAAGACCCATCTGGCCTGCATACCGAGCACCTGTTAAACCAGCTAGAGGATTGTTCGCAGTTCCGGCTGCCATGTTTGTCGGTACACCTGCTGCGGCACCAGCTGCGGTGTTGGCAGCATTTTGGGCCATGTTGCTTTGCGCACTTTTAACCATATGTATCGTGTTGCCGGCCTTGATCTTGTAAGTGCTTAAAGGTTCCTCATTCTTCATAACACGACCCGAATAAATTAAACGTTGACGATCGACCGGAATCTTTTCGTAATCATCTCCTGCGAGCTTGGTCTTCAGGTCAAGAACTAATGCAGTTTCTGCCATGGTGATTGTGTGATTTCCATCGCTGGATGTCTTGACCTTGAAGGTGATTTGAGAATCGGTCTCGGGCGCAGTTGATGTCTCCTCTGACATCTTGATAGATTTATGAAGATATTGTTTCAACGGGTTGTTGGAGAGAGATATTTGAAAGAGGTATGTGGAACTGGGATTTGGTTATGTTGTGTTGATTGTGAAGGTGGTTGGATCAGATAGATAGTAGATGGATAGATAATTGTGACTATCATAAGCAAATGATTGAGGTTGAGGGGCTCGGCTGGTGGGCTTGGGGCTTAGATGACGTTCGATGGGTTCTCGAATGCTTTTGCGTGGTCTTGCTCCGACTCTTGCCACCAAATTTCGAAAGGAGGGAGGTAAGGAAAGAAAGCGAAGAGAGGGATTGAATTTTTATTATTGAGGAAATGTATTAGTTCTTCTCAAAAGTGTTGAAGGTTGTGTGTATTAGCAAATGGTTCGCTTTCTAGTCGGGTTTTTGTTAACCATGACCTAAGGTTACCTACGTATACTTGTTGGTCATGATCTAGTAGAAAGTATAACGTGTAGAAAGGATAAAGTTCATATGTTGTGCTACTATTGGTAATATTAGTAACGGGAGACATAGCTACTTATTCGCATCTTCCCTTGAAATCTTTTGCCTTCTGACTACCTACTATCTACTTTACCTCTTTCAAAGGGGCACACAGTGGTAGGGGCAATTAGTTCATCAAGTTGGAAAGTATAGATAACAAAACATAACATTACAGATATCGTAAACCTTCATATACACGTTGTAGCGTGGCAATCACTCTTCTCAGATAGGTAAATCTCGACAACTAGACAGGCAGAGACATTTGAACCTCGGCTCGGCCCCCGCGTTTAAAGAATCCGGGGTCCATCAGTCTCTCCATACCAACTCCTTTCTCAAACATTTCTCTCTATTGCATCCATTCAATCAAACAAGTTGATTCTTTTCAATTGATCATCTATAATCAAATCATTCACAATATGCGAGGAATTCAAATCAAAGAATATGTCAAAGTAAGCTTTAGAGAGAGCTCCGAAGCTCTTGTTCCCTTCGACATGTATGTATCAATGTCCTAACATACCTTCACGCATTATAGGGACCTCAGGATCTCAAAATCACAGATCTACCAGATCCAGTGCCAAATCCTGATCAATATTTAATCGAAATTCATGCTACTGCTACCAATTTCTTTGATCTCCTTCAAATCCAGGGAAAATATCAGCATCAACCTCCTCTCCCTTGTAAGCAGTTTGATTTATCTGCCATTGATGAAAGCCAGTCCGCTCATGTCGCACTACAAGTCTTTTCCAATCCCATATCTCAAAGCATCAGGACCATCTACTAACTCACATTTAGGGATATCCGGCTCAGAATTCAGCGGAATCGTCCTCTCCACTCCTAAATCCTCCTCGTCGCCTCGATACAAACCAGGAGACCGCGTATTTGGAGCCTCTCAAGGTGGCTACGCAACCCAAGTTTGCGCCCAAGAAGCCTCACTCTATCCCGTACCAGAATCGTGGTCCTTCTTCGAAGCCGCTGGTCTCTTCGTCACAGCACCTACCTCCTACAGCGCCCTAGTAACTCGTGCCAACATTAAATCCGGCGACTATGTCCTCGTCCATGCAGCAGCTGGTGGAGTAGGTCTCGCCGCCGTTCAAATCGCCAAAGCGTTCGGCGCAACCGTCATAGCTACAGCTGGAACACAGCGAAAACTCGAAGTAGCCCGCGAATTTGGCGCAGATCATGCTATCGATTACACAGATGCCTCCTGGCCCGATCAAGTGAAAAAATTAACTCCCAATAATAGAGGTGTAGATATTGTGTTCGATCCCGTAGGTTTAATCGACAAATCTACAAAATGCATACGATGGAATGGACGAATTCTCGTAATAGGATTTGCGGCGGGAAATATTGAAAAGGTGCCAATGAATAAGGTATTATTGAAAAATATTAGTATTGTAGGATTACATTGGGGAGCATATGTACAGAATGAACCTGAGAAAATCAAGGAGGTTTGGGAGGGAATTTTCAAATTGATCAAGGAGGGCAAGTTCAAAGGAACAGTTTTCAAGGATAGGGAGTTTCAGGGACTGGAGGATGTGCCGCAGGCTTTGGAGAGTCTAGGAAGTAGGGGAACTTGGGGAAAGGTGGTGGTTAAAGTGGATCAGAAGGAAAAGGCGGGGAGGAGTAAGATTTAGGGAGTGGGAAAAGGAGATAGTTTCCTGTTTCATGTGGATGGTTGTATAGAATGTGTTTTGGATTGAACTGAGCTGTGTAGTGCAGTGTACATAAGATTACATGGATATGATTTTTTATATAAATAGTGTAGATAATATGGAATTAAGGGCTTATTATTATATATCCTAAACAGCAGTTGTGTGGATTTAGGCGAGGGCTAGAAGAGCAGAGGAGTAGATAATTCGCATCAACATACTACGAAGTAGTCAATCACTTCACTTTACTTCACTTCACACCACCTCAGCTCATCTTATATCTATCCTGACTGTCATTAATATTGAAAACACCAAGTTTTTCCTCCAATTCAGTTCAATTCAATTCAAAATCCGCTATCTGCGTGTTATTTTTATCCATCCATCCATCAATCAATAAATATATAGTAAAATCTCCTATCCTATCCTATGCAATTCCATCGCATTCCATCCCATCGTATGATATTGTATAGTCTTCCAAACCCTACACTTCTGCTCCCTCCCATCATCAAGTCGGCTAACTTCACTTCCTTCGAATGTTAAGCAACTTCAATCACGAATCTATCCTCCTATCCTAAGATTACATCTAAAAATGTTCTTTCCAAAACGAGAAATTGACATCGCGAGTCGTGGCTTGCTTGCATGCTTTTTTGATGGAGCGCGCTGCTATGTTTGGTCCTATTTTTTCTGTATTAGTATTTATCTATCTATTTATCTATCTGCCTCTGAAAGCGAGGATTGGTGGGAAAGAGAAGGAGACTATGGGATATAGTGTGATGTAGTTCAAAAAGGGAAAAGAACAAGATAAACATACCACAAAAGTAAACTCCAATGTTAGTTTTAAAATCACCCTCCAAGCCTGATAAATAAGTCTTATCCATTATTCCATCTCTCATGCCTTCAAACAATTTTAAGAAGTCTGGTCTTCCGAAATTGGTTCTGGATTTAAGTTCGGTCAAGGGATCGACATCGGCTCCTACACTGTTCAACACGATATTTTGCGCCGTGTCGATGTCCAATTTTTGAGTTAAATAAGTATGAATACGTAAGAACTCCTGACTATCACCACCCTGTTGTGCAGCCGCCTCTTGCGATTGCGCTTCCAGGGATGAGAGGAGTACTTGGAACCATTCAAAAGAAGTCGTGTCTTTACAAACCCAAATGAATTCCACGCGACGAAGACGTTCTGGAGGATTGGTCCCGTGACGAAGATGCCAGATGTTTTTAAGAATGGATGCCCATGGTGTCACACCGATACCAGTACCGATGAGGACGGCGACTTCGTTTTCAAAGACGTCCTCAGCGGGTGCACCGTAGGGACCGTCGATGCGGATTTCGGGCATTTTTTGGCCGTTTTCGAGTGCTACTTCGTACATACCGTTCGGGTCTACACCGTCGTAGAGTTTGGCTTGAGCAGCTCCGGCTCCGAGAGCGTCTCCGAGAGTGCGGGTAAAGTCACCGACTTGACGTATGTGTATTGAAATGTAGGGGTCAAATGGGCATGATGTGATGGTAAAAGGATGCCATTGTTCCCGGGAAACGGATGGAACATTGAGGAAAAGCCATTGGCCTGCCTTGTACTTCATTGATGGCTTTCGGAATTGAATTTCCATCGCATCTATAAAGTTTTAGTACTCGATTGGTGATAAATGATTGGAAAGAAGTATACCATATGGATGACGAACGACTCGAACAATCTGAGTTTCTCTTCTGCTTCGGATTTCACGATACACACGCTCAATAAAGTAAAGCCCGCCACCCCAAAGTTCCCAACGCCAACCTTCATATCCTAAGCAATGTCCCCAGAAGTTCTTGCCATCAAATGGAGAAAAGGGTTCCGCAGTATCACGAACAAAGCATCCGGTAGCATGAGTGTACATTGCAAGTAAAAATGGAATAAATAAATGATGCGTATACCAAAATGTCTCGAAAGATTGTTGTCTAATCTTGGCATGAGCAGTCGTATACATCAACATCATGCATAGCAGCATAATATGACCAGTGATACCACCAGCTTCAGTGTAGTGTATCTGAATTGCGCTCACAGGTCTAATCTGAGTCTTTTCAACATTGAAGAAACTGTGTGATGTTAGCGCCCAAAAGGTAGTGCAATGACGTAATACTTACTTGACATAGTGAGCAGCTACGTGAAATATTGTCCAAAATAACAATGAGTATGCTACCTGTCGATGAAACCATTGAGATTCATCCAGTGGTAGGAACTTGATCTTTGGTCTAACATATCTCAAAATGTTGCGACACATAGGTAATAAGATCATTGCAACATCGACGGACAAAGCTAGACCGGCACCTCTTGATATCCATACTGAGAATGTGAGGGTATTCAGACCGGCTAGTCTAGGGTCACTAGCTTGCTTCCACCTGGATGACTTGTTAGTGAATGAAAGACGGATAGGTCAAGAGCTTACTCACCACCCCAAAGCAAATAGACCAATGTGAAAGCCGTGGAAGAGGAAATTAAACAGTAATTTTGTTCCTCGGAGCTGACTCTTCAAAAACTGTAGAAGCCCCATCTTCTCTATACCCGAATATCCCAAATATTAAAAGTCGTCCAGCGACAAGATTGATGAAGATAATTGAGTGAGATCGTTGACCGTTTGTGTGACTGAGAGAATCAACCAAACTTTCCGATCTCACGAAAAAGTATTAAATGTACTATTTGAAAAAAATGCGTAAAAAATGAATGCTCATCAAAAGAAAAGAATGATCCGAGCCAGCAGCCAACAGCTTGGAAAGCTTGTATGGGAACTTTGACGGGGAAAGTCTTGTTCTTCTGTAACGCTGAGGAAAGAGGAGCAAATGAAAAGCTAAGGTATGTGGGCGAGTCTTGAATAATAAAGGTTGTTCGATCGGCGAGCCACACTAATCACTTGATACTTTCGATGATGGGATACGCGGAGAGAAATATTCTCTTGGAGCCGTAACCAACGCTCGTACAGTCGTTTGTTGCGGAGGTCAAGCTAAAAATTCGGACGACAGGTTTTCCTAAACGAACCCCAGTACGGATGTACAATAATATCTGATTTTCCTTTCTATTCCCTAAACGATATAAATTTCAGGGAGATAACCCGTTGATAGAGACGAAGATTACCGTCCTTTCAGAAATGCCATCCGAACTCTTTGATCAAGTAGGTGTAGATCGGATGTAACAGTGCGTTTCACAAGGGAGAAGGCTGTATCAGATATATCCAATATTTGGATTATCAGAAGCAGTTTATGGTTTCGTGAGGTTAAAGGATGTTGGAGATGCTCAACCTAGCTCGTAAAACTTTGTCGATAATGAATTGAGACGAATGTTGTTGCAAATAATCCCAGTAGCATTGAGAAGCAATGAAGTCTGTTGCAAAATTGTCTGATCTTGTCTTCTAAGTAGACGTTTGAACAGGGGGGTTTGAATTTGTCCAGCAAGCTCCTTATTGAAAAATCGATTGAAAATCGGGAGATTTGAAGGGACCTCGGGAATGAATATAAATTTCAGTATGGCTGAGTTATTTGGCCGCTCTCCTTCAAATGATTAGATTTGAGAATTTAGATGTCGAGTGAATAGAATTCATGAAAGAAATAGAGAATCAATCTTGGGAGAGTCGAGGTTTTCTATAATAGGAATGGCTGCAACCCCGTGTATAAATAACAGGGTATCGAACTACCCCAGGCGCTTGAAAATCATATTTGATTGGGTGGAATTATTGACAGAAGTGGCACTTATGCACGACTTTGCATCAACCATCTGGTACCTCGTTCCACAGAAGGCCTATACCTGGGCTTTTACCATAATAGTTTATATGGCTCCACCGTCCCATGATTCTATTTATGGCCAGTAGAGTCTCTTGAACGGTGAACTATTGCTGTATTGAAGATTTTCTCCCCTGTTTGAAGATAAGATAGATGGCAGGGGGATATTTTAGCACGTATACGGATTGATAAGGAGAACGGACTATAGAATATGACTTCTATGGTGACATCGTAGTTCTTGGACCACCTGCAGGGTTTGCGTGCAGAGGCACAATGCTGTTTGTCGACCTCGTAACCATTTGATTTATAGGTAATCTTCGCCTCATTCATTCGAATCACCATGAAGCTTCGTTGTGATCGAGTACCGTTGTGCGAAGCTGTCATATCTAGTTAGTTGCAGCTGATAAATGTTGGGTTCCGAATTGGCAGTCGTTCAATCCATATTTGGAGGCTGGACCAGTATCTGACCATGGCGAAGCGTATTCTATGGTATCGTACCTAGTTAGAAATACGGTTCAATTTTTAAATCCAAGATTATGCCGATGTCTGGTATTATTAGTACCGTCCGAACTTTCTGGAGGTCCCAAAATTGCCGAACCGATTCTGTTGATGCGGTGTTCACGTGACATTACAGTTTCACGCTGGAGGCACAGTCCTATGCACCGCAAATCCAGCGGCACAAATGGATTGTGTGCCTCATGAGCTGTACTTAACTGGCGCAGGAACTCGGAAACTCCAGGTTGCGAATCTCAACGCTTCACCGATGGATGTACCAAGTCGACTGTGAATCCGTACAGATAACCGGAGCTTGCGAAATCATTTCACTACTTTAGAGGTTGGAGATGGCAGATCGTGTTGTTTCAGAACTGATTTAGAATGAGGTTCTTGTCAGCGAGTCACGTCCATTGAAGGCCATCCGTAACAGTGTAATCCTTATGACATATTCAACCATACATTGAAGGGTTGATGCCTTGGGTTCCTGGGCAATTGGTGCATATAGTGTGGAAAGCAGATACGCAGACAGCGATTCTGTATACCGATGCGAATTCGAGACCTGGGGTGAATCGAAATATTCTCCCTCCAACTCCGTATTGGCGAAAGTTCATAGACACATCATGTCTGCCGGAGCGTGGCGAGAACAACAGGAGCGCTTTCAATCAGTGATCGTTATATATCGAATGGTTGTAAGTTCGACCCGGCAAGTGCCAAACACACATCATTATCGCTAGAAGAAACCGAACATCGTAAGACATGCACTTTCGACATAAACAATAACTCATGCTCCAATCTTTTTCCGAATAATTCTATGCTTTACAGCCACTGCTGTATGTCGACGAACTTATGACTCCATGAGCTTTGGTCATACTTGGCCTGAGTGTCGAAAAAACATATCTACACCTTTTCTCCAATCCTTCTTCTGGAGCATCATTATTTCAAGACAATATTGTGGCTGTTGTTGCTGATAGACTCATTCTATCTCTATCTATATTCATCGTTAATGCCAAAAAAGAACGTCATGAGTGAGAACAACGCTGGCATGATTTGGGAATGCGAGCTTTCGTCGCGTGGATTCCGTTCCCAAGAATTTGATCAATTTTCGAAGAGGTAGAAACCCAAGCTTCAAAGCAAAGAACACTTGTGTTTGCTTGACGAATGGGCCACTAGATTTTATAGAGAGCTTGTTAGTTGGCTTTAATTAAAGAGCAAAAGAGAAATTAGACATAGCAATGCAGAGGGCCTAGAGCTTTAATTCGACCAAATTAGCAAAAAGGGTTTTGCGTGCATAGAACAATTCAATTACAAAGACAGTAGTAACCTGAAGACATGGAATAAAAGACTTTTGTGATATCGTCAAGGTAGACATTTGGCCTAGAATATGGAAGTTTATTTTATGGTGGTTCATTAGATACTCATTTTGAAGGATATATAGTATCAATACTCCATTCTATACTGGTAGCAATACTACTTCGTAGGTAGGTTCTCAAAAGGGTGGATCAGATTGATTTAACCAATGTCATAACAAATGCCACGATCCTTGTGAACTTCCCGATGTGCTCCATCACAACACATGAATGACATGTATAACTTGAGATTGGTGAAATAATGAAGCTTCCCGACCCAGAAGGCAAGTCTTTGTTCGTGCCTCGAATTCGTAAATTCGTAACCTTAAGCCTTCAATGCGGCGAAAAGAAAAGAAAAGAAAAGAAAGAAATGCGTGTCAAGAAGGCTGAGTTCACTAATTTAGAAACTTTAAAGCCTTGGAAGTTGGAGTTTACCGTTGAGAATTAGCGCTTGTTGATTGGAACGGGCGTTTCGTAGCGAAGCCGATCATCTATCTACCAGTGACGCTTTCTAAGGAATTATTGACTCTCGAACATACACCATCCGCCCAAAATTCGTGTTTTGAATCTGTGAATCTAGAATCTTTAATCACAGGTTCTTGCATGCCGTTTCTCTTACATTCATTGTCTTAAACTTCACTTCATTCCTTGAAAAGTGCTACTATTGCGCCGAGCTTTGCGCCAGTAAGGGGGGTTGACAACCAGGCATCGGGCCCAACTTCAAGATGGTATGGAACAACAAAGGCCTTCTTACTTTCCACAGAAGTTACCATAACTAACAATCATTGTTGAATTAGGGTATCAGTCGTCGTCCGAAGGCTGATAAAAATGCCTCTACCGCAGACAGTGCACCGGGGGGAAAGCCGAATATCCAGAAAGCCCAGTTCGATACAACCAAAAAGAAGGAAGTTGGTGTGTCGGATCTTACTTTGATCAGCAAGGTTTCGAATGAAGCAATCAATGAAAATCTTAAGAAGAGGTTTGATAATAGGGAAATTTATGTATGGTCTACTTCCTTGCGCCAGGCGAACCCATTGACGGGAAGGTCTCCGAGAAGGTTACGTACTGACAGTTTTCTGTAGACATACATTGGCCATGTGCTTGTCTCTGTCAATCCTTTTAGAGATTGTAAGTACAAGGTGCATATTTTGGGTTACCCACATCTCTAACAATTCACAGTGGGAATTTACACAGATGCGGTCTTGGAAAGTTACAAAGGCAAGAATCGATTAGAGGTCAGTTGAAACAAAACCCAAACAATAAATACGTGCATTCCTAACAGTTATTTAAGATGCCACCCCATGTCTTCGCTGTTGCCGAATCTGCCTACTATAATATGAATGCATACAAAGATAATCAATGTGTTATCATTTCAGGAGAATCTGGAGCGGGAAAGACCGAGGCGGCGAAGCGAATCATGCAATATATAGCCAATGTTTCTGGAGGCAACAACTCATCGATTCAAGAAACCAAAGAGATGGTTTTGGCGACAAATCCTTTGCTAGAGTCTTTCGGTAATGCGAAAACACTACGGAACAATAACTCCTCTCGTTTCGGCAAATACCTCCAACTGCAATTCAATGCGCAAGGAGAGCCGGTGGGCGCGGATATAACAAATTATCTTCTGGAGAAGACGCGAGTAGTCACTCAAATCAAGGACGAGCGGAATTTTCATATCTTTTACCAGTTTACAAAAGGGGCCTCACAAACATACAGGGAAAGTTATGGAATCCAACAGCCGTCGCAGTATTTGTACACGAGTAAAGCCGGGTGCTTTGATGTTGATGGGATCGATGATCTCACTGAATATCAGGATACTTTGAAGGCCATGAAGGTTATAGGTTTGTCGCAAGCTGAACAGGACGAGATATTCCGCATGCTGGCTGCTATCCTGTGGACAGGAAATATTCAATTCCGCGAAGATGATGATGGATATGCTGCAGTCGTTGATCAATCAGTTGTTGACTTCTTGGCCTACCTTCTGGATGCTGATGCAGCCCATGTTATTCAAGCCATCACTATTAGAATTCTTACTCCTCGAAATGGGGAAGTCATCGAGTCACCTGCGAATGTTCCTCAAGCAATGGCCACAAGGGACGCTCTAGCCAAAGCAATATATAACAACCTCTTTGATTGGATTGTCGAGCGTGTCAACAAATCTCTTACTGCTCGGGCGGCGACATCGAACTCGATAGGTATTCTCGATATCTATGGTTTCGAGATCTTTGAGCAGAACAGTTTCGAGCAGTTGTGCATCAACTACGTCAATGAGAAGTTGCAACAAATCTTCATTCAGTTAACTCTAAAAACCGAACAGGAAGAATATGCCCGGGAGCAGATTAAATGGACGCCGATCAAATATTTTGACAACAAAATCGTTTGTGATTTGATCGAAGCTATTCGACCTCCGGGTGTATTCTCCGCTATGAAAGATGCAACCAAGACAGCTCATGCTGATCCAGCTGCATGTGACCGCACCTTTATGCAAGCAATTAGTGGAATGTCAAATCCTCATCTGACCCCTCGTCAAGGCAACTTTATCATCAAGCATTATGCAGGTGATGTGAGCTACACCGTTGAGGGAATTACAGACAAGAACAAGGATCAACTCCTCAAGGGCTTGCTTAACTTATTTGGACAAAGTAGAAATCAATTCATTCATGAGTTGTTCCCTCATCAAGTCGATCAGGATAATAGAAAACAGCCTCCATCTGCCGGTGACAAAATCAAAGCATCCGCGAATGACCTAGTGGCAACATTGATGAAGGCAACCCCATCATACATCCGCACAATCAAGCCCAACGAGAACAAGTCACCCACTGAGTACAATGAGAAGAACGTCCTGCATCAAGTTAAGTATCTTGGTCTTCAAGAGAACGTTCGTATTCGTCGTGCCGGATTTGCATATCGTCAAACATTTGACAAGTTCGTTGAACGATTTTACTTACTCTCCCCGAAAACTTCTTATGCTGGTGACTACATATGGACAGGAGATTCCAAAACTGGAGCCATGCAAATATTGAAAGATACCAATATACCCGTCGAGGAATATCAAATGGGTGTGACCAAGGCATTTATCAAAGCCCCCGAAACCTTGTTCGCCCTAGAACATATGCGGGATCGTTACTGGCATAACATGGCCGCTCGTATTCAGCGTGTGTGGAGGGCATTCTTACAAATTCGAATCGAAGCTGCCACTCGAATTCAGAGGATGTTCAGAAAGAAGAGAGAAGGCAAGGAGTTCCTGGAGTTGAGAGAAAAAGGACACCAAATATTACAAGGACGTAAAGAGAGAAGAAGATACAGTCTCCTGGGATCAAGACGTTTCATGGGTGATTACCTTGGAATTGCAGCAACGACAGGCCCTGGATCAAAAATTCGTGGGTCGATTAATTTGCCAGCCAGCGAAGTCACCCTTTTCTCCTGCCGCGGTGAGATTCTTGAGACTAAATTTGGCCGATCAAGTAAGCTAAGTCCTCGTATCTTCATAATGACGCGGACAAAGTTCTACATCGTCAGTCAGCTGCTTGTCAATAAGCAGGTTCAAATTGCTGTGGAGAAAGCGATTCCCCTTGGAGCTATCAAATTTGTGAGCATATCGACATGCCGCGATGATTGGTTCTCCTTAGGCGTAGGCTCACCACAAGAAGCTGATCCACTTCTGACTTGCGTATTTAAAACCGAACTTTTCACGCATATGCAAGGAGCAATGCCTGGAGGCGGGTTCAATCTGAAAATAGGAGATTCGATTGAGTATGCCAAGAAACCTAATAAGATGCAGTTAATCAAGGTGGTGAAAGATTCTCAACAGCCTCAAGATCATTACAAGAGTGCTACTATCCACACCCAGGCAGGCGAGCCACCCGATTCTCGATCAAAGCCGCTGCCGAAAGGCAAACCTGTCGCGGCAAAACCATTTACTTCAGGTCGTCTCATCAAGCCCGGAGGACCAGGAGGACGACCATCAAAATTGACGAACGGAAACCGACCAACCCCCAAGCCAGTTCCTGCACCTGCTGCAGCAAGACCTGTACCTGCCGCGAACCCTATCGCAGCCTCTATTCCAGTGCACACAAGGAATACTTCGGTACAATCGACACAATCTACTAGAGCTGTACCACCTCCTCCACCACCGGCTCCACCAGCTCCTCCTCCAGCTCCTGTATCGAAGGAACCTCAGTACCGCGTTCTCTACGAGTTCGCTGGACAGAGTGCTAATGAATTTTCCTTGAAGCAGGGTGAAATTGTGACTGTCCTTCAAAAGGAAACAAATGGTAAGCTTATTCTAAAGATTGCATAAGTACGATCATACTAAACATGAACAGGCTGGTGGCTTACTAAAAACGTCCGCGGTCAAGGTTGGGCTCCCACTGCTTACCTCGAAGAAGTGACACCACCGCCACCTCCTCCTCCTGTCGCCACACGTCCAGCACCACCACCGGCCCCTGGACTTCCGAAGATGAATGGTACAAACGGCGCTGCTATTCGTTCCAAACCTACCCCTCCTGCACCGCCAGCCAAACGCCCAGCAGCAGGTAGAAAACCAGCTCCTCCGCCAGCGCCTCGCGATTCTGGAATGAGTATCTCTAGTAATGGAAGTGGTAATAACAGTGGCCGAAGCACTCCAACTCCAAGCTTAGCCGGCGGTTTAGCGGAAGCTTTACGAGCGAGACAAAGCGCGATGCAAGGGAATGCTAAGAGAGAAGATGAAGATGATTGGTAGACAAGGAAATGAAAACGTAATGTGAGAATTTCTCAAACAGTCGAGCCAAGAGACAAGAAAGGAGAGAAGAGAGATTTGAAGCAGGTTTCTATAATGCAGATACGATGAAGCTATGAAGCAAATAGATAGATGACGAGCGTAGCGACACCATTGTACTTTTTTTAGGGGGTTTTCTACGTACAATCTGACGGTTTAGGATTGATGGCACTTTTCTGCAATACAAATCCTTGTTTTGAGACATGACATGGCATGGTTTGCAATGATGTTTGATGTTGATGCCGATGCATTGCATTGCATTGTACTGCATGGAGCGGGGAGCGGGAGCGTTTCTGATATAGAAGGAAAGCAGGGCAACAGAGAATGCGAGTTTTTAGAGTTTGAGTTTGGCTGCAGATAAACGGGATGTAGTAGCGCAATAGTGCAGTGTGTTTGGATAGGTTCTCAAATAGATAGATAGATATAGGGAGATAGGGGAGTGAGAGAGGGAGATATGGAGTGAGGGAAATAAGATTACTTTATTTGTACCTAGGTATACAAAGATTTTTGTATTTTTAATACCTATCTATTAGGGTTTTATTTTTGGTTTTGGATTGGATTTGGATTTTGATTTGGATTTTGATGTGATGTGATGTGATGTGACCTTGAACTGATGGTATAGAAGTAGAAGTACATTTATTCGTTTCTTTGGGTTTTCTTTCCTTCTATGGATGGGGGAATTCCAGTGATTGCGATATCATACATACGATGGTGATTAGGTAGGTAGGTAGGTATATAGTTGAATGGACAGAGTAGAGTGAGTGAGTGGGTGGGTGGGTGAGAAGTGAGAGGTAGGAAGTAGGAAGTGAAATCATGTTTCTATCAAAGAACCTCTGATAGAGAAGCCATAAGATATATAAGGTGCTATTTGCTACCTAGATATTGATAAATCACTAGCTACCTAGGTACTCACTTATTTCATCTCATTTCATATGCTCTCATACCATGTTCAAACCCACCTTTCCCACTCCTAAAAAGATTAAGGAAAACCCATAACCCTGATATGCACGCATGTATTCCTCAAAATGTCCTAAAATAACAACGGGAGCCGTGAGCCCTGGAGAGAATATAAGAAATGATTCCATTGTAATCATGATCTCCATGTCCAAATACAGTAAAGACTAATTACGATCTAATCTTCGTCTCAAATTCCTCGTCCGGCGCATGAGCTTCTTGTACTTGTGTTTCTTCATCTTTAGTTTCCGCTGTCTCTTCACACTAATAGCCCACATGGTCGCTCGCTCCCTACGACGGACTCTCGAGCGCTCGAGATAACTTCTAGGTGGGTCTTCTGATACTATTGGGCCGCTTTCCGCTGTGTATGTAACCTCGCCGTTTGCGTCGGTGGATTCGTTGATCGTAAGGAGGGTATGGTAGGTCCGTTGTTGGGGGAGATGCGCTTCCTCGTGTTCGGCAGCGGCTTCTGCGCCAGCGGCAAGGGATTCCTCTGTGCTCATAGGGACAGGTGCGGGTGGAGGGGAGAATGGTGTGTATTTGCGGGCGAACATTGAACGGGGTACTTCGCTGGCATTGTCGAGATGTTGGACTCTGTAGGAATCAGCGGTGATCCCTGCGCGGAGCTCATCCGTTTCTTCGTTCCATTGATCTTGAATATTAAGTTGTCTGAGCGACCCCGTGGCGGTGTCGAGAGATTGAAGTGTATTCGATAGTGTAGCTATCACTTCTTGTGGTTTATTTGGACGTGATCGTGGAGCGAAGATAGCGGCGAATGCTTCGTCTGTTACAGCTTTAGGGAAGTTCATAGTGAGCGATATGGGCCTATGAAGGGAGAAAAATGCGGAAGCGGCGATTTCTGCAAAGTATAAGTTAGAACCTTTTCTGTCGATGTATGAAATCTGTCGACTCACGGTTTGGCGCAATATGACTGGTACTAGGCACGCTAGGTAAATTGTGCACGGTATCGTCTTTCTTTGCAGAACTGGTTGAAGCATCCTTTGCCTTTTTTCTCCCCGCTTTAGGAGCCTTCTTCTCGCCATCAGGTCTTGCTTGTGATGGAGATGCAGGAACAGTTTGCCCTTCCGCTACTCTCTTTGGTCCATCTGCTGGGCTTGAGGGTTTCGACGAAGAAGAGGAGGATAATCGACGCTGATGGCAACGGATCGAAAGGGCTTGATAGGTAGCAGCTCGTGGTGCGACATTGTAGATAGGAAGTATCGGTACTGGTGGTGCTGCCAGAGCAGCTCTTCGAGCGGAGGAGGAAAACATCCTTTCACAATAGGTGTCTAGGTGGAGTTTCGACGATCTCCAGAAGATATTTGACTCTGAAGCCTTATCTTAGTTTCCTTGTTCCATGGAACCAGACCGCTAATAATTAGACGCCGCGCCAAATTAGTATCCACGTGATCGGACTTCGCCACATCGCTGAGTCGTCGTCTCCCGTGAAATATTTGCCGTGTGATTACAATTTCCACATTAACGGTAGGAGTCCTGAAATGAGTTTATTCAGATATGGTGATCATACTTAATTAGGTATAAATCATACTTCATAATCGTCTAAAAAGCAACAGATCCCGAAATTCACTATATCCAATAAGAGTTACTCCATTTACGTTTGCGGCATGGACGGAATCAACGGAATCAGAGCAAGAAGTTATAATCTTACAACCTTGCTGGCTGTTCCCGTCCCGTGGTACAGCCAGCATTAGATAACGCTTCTTGCCGCCAGCGTGATCAAGCCAGTTGGTACATTCGTCCTGTACATACTGCTGATTGGGCCGTGTAGATCTATACAACGTCGCCTTATTTATGTTGTATGTAATACATCAATGAGGCGGAATTATTTGATTGGTCATCGCTAAACTTGTAAGTGAAGGGCGAGTTGAGAACTTGAGACTTTTAACCTTATGACTAGTCAGATACTCAACTAGCTCTTAGTCAAGAGTATCATCTTTTTCTACGAGACAACGGAGAGATATTGGGTATTTGAAGATTACATGGTGATGGTGATTGTTGCCGGATTCAGAGCGACCTTATTGCCTTGATAATGATTTCGTACATGAACCCTCCCCATAACAGCCATAAGATATAAGTAAAACATCAACGTTTTCAATTCGATTTAGCTACTAGGTATTTCATTGCTTCATAAAAACTATGAGATCATAAATCATCTTCACATCCTAGCACCGGATATTTTCCCCATCCATCCATCCATGCATCGATACATATCCAGGAATCCTTTACATGAATTTACTAGCCAATCCCATCAATCCACTCATACCGCCCGAGCTTCCACTTGAGCTTCCACCTCCCTGACTCTTCATGTACATCTTGAGAGCCATTTCACCTGCTTGTTGAACAACGCTTTCCTTGGAAGAACTGGAGGATACATTTCCTTGGCTGCTTTGTTGATCGAATAATTTGCTGGCTTGTGCCATTGCCATGCCAACGAATGCATTTTGAGAGTTTCCAGATGAAGAATTGCCGGATGAACCACCGTTAACCATCTTGAGTGCTTGCATTGCTGCGGCACTACCCATGCTGGATGAAGATGCGGAGCCCCCAGAAGAACTACCACCACCACCATAGAATTGTTTGTGGGAGTTTACGGCTTCTGGTTTGATATTAGCATGTTATCAGGTGATATTAGATTGTAATAATTGCCTTACCTTGCTCGTCCACATCCTGGTTACTGATATTGCTCTTGTTCTTACCCAAATAACCCAAGACACTTGAAAAGATGCCCGAATCGCCAGAGTCACCAGAGTGTTGTGCAGCATGATGAGCTGCACCATTCAGATCCTCATCATCTGCACCATATCCTCCACCGCCACCATATGAGTTATGACCATTTCCTCCATATTTCTCATCCCGACCACCGTGACGAATTTCCTCTTGTCCTCCTTGTCCGCCGCCCGAGTAATAGCTTTGAGCCTCACCACCTCCTTGACGACGATCTTCGTTGAAGTTTCCACCGCCGAATGCTGCACCAGGTCCGCTAGCACCACCTTCTCTCCTCTCTATAGGTATGTGTGAGCTTGAGTTTGTTGTGTAGGATTGAGATTGTTAATTACCTTCACCACCATATCCACCACTTTGTTGACCACCATATCCACCACCTTGTCTTCCTTCACCACCATATCCTCCACCTTGTCTTTCTTCACCACCATATCCTCCACCTTGTCTTTCTTCACCACCATATCCTCCACCTTGTCTTTCTTCACCACCATATCCACCACCTTGTCTTCCCTCACCACCATATCCTCCACCTTGTCTTCCCTCACCACCATATCCTCCACCTTGCTGGCCACCGTAACCCTCGTTTCCGTATCCTGACATATTGCTGTTGTTTTATTTATTTGGTTTGGGTTGGGTTGAATTGATGCTATGCTATAGCGAATGCTGTCAGTCAAGAGCAGAGAGACGGGCTATGTATGTATTTTGTTGAGGTGGCTTGTGCGGGGTAGAGCTAAAAGCTCTTCCCAACCAGCATAATACTATCTTTCTTTGGGAACAACTTACTAGATTATTGAGTTTTGCAGTGTAGATTAATTCTCGTAAAGTTATTGTTTGAGTTGTTTAAATTGATGAAAAGAAGATAGATGTTCAAGATCATGCAGGAATAGAAACTTGGATATATTCTCAAGCAGGATCAACTGAGCTGGATTCCAAGGAGGGGAATCATGCAGATGATGACGTTTTCGTGGTGGGGTAGCTGAAACCCCTATTGGCGTGGGGCAAATATGCTCGGTTGATTGGTTGGTTGGTTGTGTGCTGTGTAACCTTTTCAGCTTGGCTGTTTGGAGTGAAATATTAAATATTTAATATTATTGACTACAAGTAGTGAGGTAGATATTCTTAAAACCCAGTGCATCTAAACCCCCTTATTCATTTAACCTTGCATGCCTCTGACATATTCTATATGGTTTTACAACTCCGCTGATATCACACAGAAGCTCTCAAATGAAAAAAATTGGTACGCCTATTCATCCCTAGCCCTCGTCAAATCATAATACATCACCCACTACCCAAGCCTCAATTGTTCTTCGCAGACTCCACATCACTCCTCTTCTCCTCCTGTAAACCCTGCAACGTCTTATGTTCCACCTCCAACGAATACCCCTTCACAAAAAGACTCGACACGAAAGCCGCTCCACACAACGCACACATAACCATCCAAACCATCTTCAACGAATCAGCATACGCCTCCTTCAACTGACTTTTCTCCAATCCCACCTCCATGTCTTTGATCAATTTCACCAACGCCGTAGCATCTTTACTATATTCCGTAGCCATATCCTTCAATAACGGATAAGAAAGAAGATTCTCCCTAATCCGATTTTGGAACACGACACCCCCGATAGCAACACCAATAGCTTGCCCAAATACACGATCAAAAGCAAAGAAAGCAGCTGCGTGACCAGCGTCTTGAGGGCGAGAAGCGGCTTGGTTTCCTAGCGCCATGGCGGGAAATAACATACCTGTACCGATTGAAATGGGGACGTTGAGAAATACCCATTGGACAATAGAAGTGGAGGGGTTGAGGAGATAGAGGAGACCTGCTCCAAAGGTTGCGAGAGCCCAGCCTGTCCAGAGGGCCCAACGATACCGACCAGTTTTGGCAACTAGTATTCCGACTATTACTGACATTGGCTTATACATGTCAGTTGAATCCTGATCATATGAAGTATAATATGAGGAGCTTACAGCGACGAAACTAGTCTCGGGTAAAACTGCTACACCCGAAATGATCGGTGTGTACCCCTGAACAGCTTCATAGTATAAAGGAAGATAGTACAATAAAGACCAAAGAACCATTCCATGAATCATAGTTTCAAAATATATAAAGATCGTCGACCATGTACTGAAAATGCTGAAGCGAATGATAGGTTCTACATTATCAGCCGATAAGAGTTCACCTTCAGAATTAAATGCTCGATCTGAGAGACGTTTTTCATAGAATGAGAATCCCACGAGTCCTACGACTCCTATCGAGAGAGGAAAAAGCACTCGCCAAGAATCCCATGCGTACATAACACCACCTACTTTTGAGTTAACAAAATGCCATACGAAACTCGGGGGATATTCATACCCCATGTAATAGGAATCAGAAAAGAAATTGTTGAAGAAATAAAGATGGCAGAGCCAAACCAATCAAACCTCTTAATTTTTGCAGCTAGATTCCCTGTCGTACGTCTAATTTTGAGGAAAAGAATGATAGCTATTGCGCCTGATACGATGATGGGGATATTGATCCAGAAGATCCATCTCCAAGAGACATCTTCCGCGAAAGCTGTAGTTCATTAGACTAGCTGCACTCTCGAAATTATGAGTATAAACTTGCCACCGCCCATCAATGGACCCCCAACACTTCCAAAGGCCCAAATACTACCTTTGTATATAATTAGTTGATGTTCTTGCAATGATAAGACGAAGGCATACCCATATAACCAAAATAAGCACCTCTCACAGTAAGCGGAACCAAATCCGTAATAAGAATCTCGCCCAAAGACAGAATTCCTCCCCCTCCAATTCCCTGAATACTTCTACCTACAAGCCTATCACCGCATCAGTAAATACACACTCAAGATACCAAATATCTACAAACATCAACGTAAAACTATTCGCAACAGCCGCAAAAATCGACCCAATACCAAAAGTTAGTGCCGAGCCGAGAAGTAATTCTTTTCTCCCGAATACATGACTTAAGCCCGCAATAACAGGTTGAGAAACTGCACTTGTGAGAAGGAAACTCGTTCCGGACCAGAAAGCTTCGATGGCTGTTCCTCCAAGCTTGGAGGTTATGATAGGAAGAGCGATGCTAAGAGATGTAGCGTCGAGGGCTGCGGCAAGTGTAATGAGACATATGGAGGAAAAAGCTAGGATGAAAGTGGTTGTGGGTTTGAATTCGATTTTGAGTTCTTGTGTTTCGGCGTCTGTGGATTGCTTTTTCTGAATACTGATGGCAATGTCCGAATTACCTATATTTGAAGAATGTTGATTTGTGGTCGTGGAAGTCTTCAGAACTGAAGTCTCCATGGATTCGACCATGATAAGAAGTTATGGAATGTTTGATATGGAGTCTGGTATGAGATATGAAAGATTGATAGACAGGAAAGAATTGCTGCTTGAACAGAAGATAGAATTGACTTGATCCATACAAATTGGGAGTAAGTAGAAGCATACAAACCTGGGCATCCTGTTCTTATATAACATAATAGAGGCTCCAGTCAAGCCATTCATGAAAACAGAGATATATTTGGACCTCTAGCCATCATCCAAAATATCCGTAGAGAGATTCATCATCGCAGGAGGTGGAACCAAAAACTACGACCTTACCAACCAAATCTCACCATACCAGACCCACCCCGGCGTTCCAAGAACCATTGATCATCCAAGACTCTTTCCGCAACCACAATCCGGCAAATAAATATAGAAAATTATGATAACGAGTATAACGAATATAACGAATTTATTATTATTTTCAGCCCCGAAAGAATCAGAAATTAAAGCTTACAAAACAAAAGAAATAATGAGATCCCAGATCCATCGAAACATCGATAGATTTCTAAAAACAAAAGAAATCTATTGTATAAAAAAAAGCTGAAGATTTAACGGAAATCAATGGATTTGATAGCACCTGAAGAGTCCTCAAAACTAACACATCTCTCTCCATCAACGATTGATGCACTCGCACAACGTCAAAGAATATTCTCAGACAGGAACCTGCACCATTTCTTTCACTGTCTGACGATTAAATCCAAGTCTCCACCATATTCACCTTCTACCCCTTCAGCTATACGCGAAATGGAGAATTTGATGAGACGAACGCAGGACCATTGCTCCGTTTCGCTCGTTCGGGAAAAAATCCTTACTGCACGTGATTATCTACAAGTAACCTTAGCGAGCCATCAAGTCCGGCCCTATTTCCCGGGAAGACCATTCGGATCTGATCTGATCGATCTAATACATACCCGAGCCGAGCAAGGCTGATTACTCACCCATCTCCTCTCCTATCTCTTAACACCTACGTACCTAGTACTCACTGTCATCGATGTAAAGACCAACCGCAACATGACGCAACCGCGTCTTCTTCCATTACGATGTCGAATCAAATCAATTTCCGATCTCGCACAGCCATTCTGTTATCTCCACATGTCGTTTTTGACATATGGATCTCAGATATTGTTTCATTACTTGGAGCCTGGTCCTTTGGGTAGGAAGGAGATGGTGGTTTTCAATATGTGTGCTGGGGCGATGGTGTGGTGTTATTTTCAGACTTGTCATGTTGATCCTGGGGAAAAGGGTTGGGTTGATAAGGTGATGGTTGATGGGGTTGAGAAGGGGAATCTTGGGAAGGGTATTGGGGATGGTCAAGGTGGAGGGGAGATGGAGGAAAATAATGTGAGGTGGTGTAAGAAATGCGATGCAGTGAAGCCGCCTAGGGCTCATCATTGTAAACGATGTAAACGGTATGTTTCTCGTCTGTAAAAATTTCTTGATGCGGAATTATACTAACTCCTCAAAGTTGCATCCCGAAAATGGATCATCATTGCCCATGGACAAACAATTGCGTCTCTCACACTACATTTCCTCACTTTGCCCGCTTCCTCTTCTATGCCGTCCTCTCCATCACAATCCTCAGCACCTTCATCTTCACGCGTCTCTCATACGTTCTCTCCGAAAGCACTCTCCCATCCTACCTGGGACCGTCTACTACATCCCTCACTATGCTCTTTATAATCTTTTGTTCTAACGGACTCTCTTTCTTCGCCATGTCCCTCCTCCTTATGCGCACCATCTACTCCCTTGCCACAAACATATACATGATCGAAGCCTGGGAGATCGAACGCCACGATGCGGTTATCGAACGCTCAAAGACGCGCAATATGCGAGGCTATGTATATGCGAACGGGGGACGGAAAGTGCGAGTCGAGAAGGTGGAATTTCCATTCGATATAGGGATTTGGGAGAATATTGTACAAGCGATGGGAACGGCGAATGTCTTGATGTGGTTTAATCCCTTTGCGGGAGGACCAGGTGTAGAGAGTGCGGGGAAATGGGAAGAAAATGGTTTCAATGATAAAGAAGGCATGTGGCCACCTCCAGATCCGGATAAGTTGGGAAGGAGAGCGGGATGTAATGGAGTGGAAACATATCCGCTGGAGGAGAAAGTATACGGAAGTGTAGAAGAGGAAAGAGATGCATTTAGAAAGAGACAAGAGGCCGATTTGAAACGATGGAAGAAAGATGATCTAGATACCACGAGTAATGGCGGAGATGGATTCTATGAAGAAGAAGAAGAAGAAGAAGACGACGAGGATGAGGATGAGGATGAGAAATACGTGAGTGAGTACGAAGAGGGACTTGATGGAAAAGAAGGATGGACGAATTCCGAGGGTGATAGATTGAGGGATTATGGAGTAGATGAAGAAGTGGATATTATGGATGAGGATGATATACCATTAGGAGAATTATTACGACGACGTAAAGCAAGGAATTTTGAATCGGCTTAGATGGGATAGAATATATATCACAGAATAGAATAGAAATGATAATATAACTTGGAAACTCTATGAAATTTGAAATGCCTATACAGCGTCTGCATTGTCAGACTCAAGTTCAAGCATCCAAGAAAGTCAGCCATCAAAGTGATTTCGCATACCGTTTCGCCTAAAATATCCCATCAATCGTTCATTCATTCATCCACATCATCCATAAGTCAGGATAGACATAAATATAAAAAATAAAACTAGCCATTCATCCATTCATTCATTCAATTAATTAACTACAACTATAACTATAATTACAACTCAAAACTCCACGATTATCTCCCCTAGCGTTGCTGCTCTAGCCTCAGGTATTCTAAGGTTTACCTATTTCTATTTGAGTGTATATCCACCATTCCATCCATTCCATCCATTCATCATGCTCATGCTCATGCTCATGCTCATGCATTATCCAATTTCCCATTTCCTCATAGCAGTAATACATCGTAAGGATCATGTCATGACCTCATTCCAGTTCCTATTGCCGCGGCACTTGAAACGCCGGGATAGTAGAAGGAAAGGAGAAGAAATGAAATGAAAAGAAAGGAATAATGGGAATGAAAATGAGAATGAGAGTGATACCTCCCTTACTCATCTCATGCTGAAAATGTTACAATGGAAACCCGTGTGTTCTCCATACCCGAATACGAATAAATATCGCGTGGAAAATAATCCTAGGATATTTAGGTTACTCATCCCCTCGATCTGTCTCCCCAGAAAATTAAATAGCAAAACACGTAGCAAAAACCATCGCGATCATAACCCACCAACCCATACCCTCAGCCACTGTCCTTCCAGCAGCAGAATCCGTTCCACCACTCGCAGTCGTCCCATTGGGTAATGTCCCATTAATAAGAATCGTTTTCGTTCCATTAACATCCGCGACATTAACTAATGTTTTGTTCAACGCTGTATAACTTCCATTTCCGATCAATTCGTCCAGGAACGAAGTATCTGAGTTATCTTCACATCCACATTCTGAATATGCAGCGCAGAGACAGGTAACAGGTAGTGTTTCATTGACTCCTGTTGTGTCGGAATTCTGACGGGTGTCTAGTGTTTTGGATGTAGTATTTGTGGAATTGCGAATGGCAGATTGGTTGCGGAATGTATATGGATTGTGGTATGGATAGCTGTAGGCGCCGAAGAGCCAGAGGCCGGGAAAGATGGATAGGGCGCCGAGACCAAGGAAGAGAGGAGCTATTCCTAATGGTGACTTACGTCCGGCTGAATAAGGTGTTGTTGCTCCACCGCCATACTAATGTGTTTGGTTAGTCTTTGATATGTAGATTATCTTTGAGGGATGGGCACATACATATCTTCCACCACCATAAGCAGGTCGTGGTCCAGACCCGGCTTTTGTGGCGCCACCGGCAGAAGAAGATGATGAAGTTACTCCTCCTCCTGATCCTCCTTTTCCTGAAGATGAAGAACTGCTTTATGGAGAGTTAGAGCTTGATTCTTTTGAGACTGATGCATTTGCCGCCACAGCAGCCACTACTGCCATGAGAGATCCCCTCTTCTTAACATGTGAAACATAACCGAATCCCCAGAAACTTCCCGCACCCATCTTCCTCCTCTTTATCCGTCCCAACTTTAGAAATGAAAGAATCTCCATAAACATACCTCGAAGAAGAGCTTCCTCCGCCACTTCCCTTCCCACCACTCGAACTACCGCCACCACCTCTTCCACCTCCGCCTCCACCACCTTTCCGTTTAAACAAATCGCCATCTTCTTTCTCTTTCAAATACCAGGTAAAATCCTCCGTCTCCACATGCGCATTAGCGTTCGCATTTGCGCCGCGCACGATAAGTTCATTTGAGGGTACATATTGCGGATGTGCGAATGAAGGCGTTGAGGAGAGAAGTAGCAGTGCTACTGTCCAGATATGCGACCTCATGATGAGGATAGTGTTCTGGTATTTGCTGAGGTTTGATAGAAGAGGGGTTTTGGATTTGTTGTATCTATCGTATGGTAATGCGAATGCGCGAGGAGATATAGTTGTGCAGAGGAAATATAATGGAGTGTAAAAGTAACTGTGAATATGGATATGGATATGAATGTGCCTGTCGAACACCAATTCACAATATAAAATCGTGAAGAAGGATAAGTTAGAGAAGTAGGAATCCAACTCCGACTTTCGAAAAAAAGGTTTCAAAACCTGTCTGCGCTTTTGTCTCACCACCGCGAACTCAGGTAGATTGATTAGGTATTCTTGTTATTCAGTGAATAATATGAATATGCATATAAAGTAACATTCATTTACCAAAACACAAAAATCTTCCCAGGATAAACCGGGGAGGCACAGAATATATATATACAAACCCGGGAACGGTGTAAGTAGTAGGATATTTAATTCCCCAACTTCATGTCCGTCGTAGCACAGCCGCCAAGAGATTCGCCTTGATAGACCGCCTCACCGTAGTCTTTGGTCCGGTTTCCAGTGCGCAGACACTTACTCCAGGAATTCCTTTCATAGGTAGGTATCTACTAAAATAGTTTATAATCCAAACAGTTGACTAGAGACTTCGCCCGTGTGGCTAACTGATGTGATGATTTCTCGTTTGTCTCTGGGTGAAAGAATCGGATCAATGGTAAGATTACCTAGCACTGCCACCGCCTTTGCAAATCTTTCTTTAGGGTTCCCGCTTGCTTGTATTTGTACTTGAATTTGAATTTGAATTTGAATTTGAATTTGAATTAGTAGGTATTTACAATTGAGTACCTGTTCGAGATAATATATTGCCCTCAGATCAAATCAGATCAAATGAAGTCAAACACAAAAACCAAAAACAATGATTGCCCTCGACAAGAAAAAATACGAGACTGATTGGATCATCGTACATCTTCACATGCCACTACATAACACAACATAACACAACATAACACAACATAATACATCATAATACATCATAAGGCTACCAAACCCCTACCCATACATAAATCACCCATAAATCACCCATAAATCACCCCACAAATCCCTGAAATCAGATTAGATAACGTAAGGTAGAAGAAAAGTGGATTATCATGATGGCCAAAGTTATCTACGGTAAGATTACTAAGCCACCGTAACCCGACAAGCCAGTGAATCAACATCCTCACCGTATACTCGGAGCCGCAAATAGTAAACTTATCGCCCTGGGTAATAAATACCACCTTCATTACTGAGAAACGAGCTTTGACTCGCGCAGTACGTGAGTGCGGATGCGGCGGCGGCGCCCAGTTTGGTGATTTGCTGCTTTCTCTCACACTCCCATTCGTAGACGTTGAAAGTCTTGGTTGCTGCGGGGGCGGAGGCGGTGGTGGTGCTAGGTGTCGCTGATGTGCTGGTTGTTGGGGCTGCACAGGTGTAGGTGCCGTCTTGACGTTTTGCGTTGGTGGGACAGGTGAGATCGACTTCTGACCATCCAACACCGTTGTAGACTGTTTCGATGCCACTACCATCTCTCGGCCATGCCAATTCTTTAATGTAAGCTTTCAGCTGCAGAGAATTTTGTTAGTCGATATCTGATGTGCATGAAGCAATACGATGGAATGGGTCGCATCGTAGCAGCTGGAGTCGACCCTTCCCTGAGAAGACATGAGAGTTACAGGATAAGAAAGAAGAGAAGCTAATTATTGCTGCTACTCGTAACGCTGGCGTTGACTCAGCTAGGAATTTCTTCCTAAGAGAAGATAGATCAAAAAAGTAGGCTGCAAGCCCTGATACCAAGGGAGCCGCTGGATGTCATTAGCTTGAATTGCTAAAACTTCACCTTCGTAGAAACATTTTGAACTTACAGAAAGATGTACCGTACTGATAATAGTAGCCACCTAGTCCTTTTGAGCAATAAGTTCCGCCCAATACATGTACCGTTGCAAAAGTGTCCAGATTAGAATAACCCGCCTGAAATCCATTATTAGTGCTAGTGTTCAAAAGCCTGACATAGGACGCAAATAGGCATGTTACCCTGGACCCGTCTAGATCTACCGCCCCTACAACGAGAATCTCAGGTATGTCGCTAGCAGCGAACATGGCGGGATATTTCCTGACCGAGTTCAGTCCTTCATTACCAGACGCCACAACAGTCAGCGCGCCCAACTCCACAAACTCTTGCAACAACTCGCGGCACTCTTTGATCCAAGCATCCGTGACCTGTGTCTCCCTGAAATTCAGAGAGAGATTTACGATCGCCATTCCTACTTCTGCAGAACCGCCTAAAATTCTATAGTGTTGGACGGCTATATTGAGGGCAGTCAGAAATGTCTCTTACGATACTTCCGTATGCCTAGCGTCTACATTGTCCAAGCCAATCAAGACAGGGGAAATGTTTTCTGAAACTCCAAATCTTTTGGAAGCAATCAGGCTCAGTAGGGCTCAAATCAGTTATTTTAGATCTGAACTTGTCAAATTGCTGAGTTGATTTATCAGCTTTTGGTCAAAGGTAGTGTAGATGTGCAAAGCGGCTTACGCTATCGGTTGTATTGATATATGAGTCAATTACGTAAATAAAGGTTGAGGGCATTTCCTCTTTGTCGTAAATATAGTTACTGTCATACTCGTCCAAATCGTGGCCTATGCGAAACATGTTAGTTGCGTGCGTCATTAATCTTATCACAACCAGAAGGACAGCTCACCTCGCGCCTGCGAGATCATTACAAGTGCAGTCCACGCACCCGATGGCGGAAACGTCAATTCACTCCCAGGGCAAGTTCAAGATGAACGCAGGAGGCAGAACACTTTTTTCTGGAATCAAAGTAGCATAGTTTGCATCACCAGCTGTGATTGTGGCTGACCAGAAATTGATTTCCGTAATGGTGAACGGTTCAACGCTGAGCACCGTTATCTTGGTATAAACTGACCCAGCAGAAGATACCAGCAGCGTGCTTGTGAGTGCTGGCCCATTGATTGTTTCAGGATCTGGGAGAGAGGAAGGTGGAATGATAAATGTGCATATAGTGTTCCCCTTGCAGCCGAATTGGTCAGAGGAAGTGTCCCAGACAGATGACGGCAGATAGATGACACCTCCATCACCTGCAGGAGGGCTAAGTGGACAAGCCGTTAGAGGGCAATAATTATGCGTACATGCAAAGTCGCATAGCACGTCATAAGAATCGTCCTCGCTAGCTATAGGGTAGCCTGTTCCAGGGACAGTGGAAGGCTGTCTCCCTGAGCCATGTTGAGTGCAAATGCGTCAATATATGCCCTCTGTGCGAGTGCGATGTTGGTTGCTCAGTCGGCTTGAGTAAAACTGGGACTATTACCCACCTGGTAAAGATAAGTAAAGGCTTGGTGCCGGTAAGCTTAACATAAGATAACATAAAAGGGCGAATGCCAATAACGTTAATCCAAATGTAATTTTCATCCTGTGCGAGTAGATGAAGTCCTGAAGAACGATTTATTTCTTTCAAAGCAGCCAACACTTACTATATATCTAAGTATTTTCTTAGCCCCAGGAAGCTTCATGAGCTTCCCAACAGTAGCTTCAAGCTGAACGTGTGATCCCATTGTGTACAGTTCGTCCGAACATACCCATCATCGATTTCTCGGTGCATTATTCATAGTGTACCCCGGGAATCAACTAAGACCAATGCGAGCTGCTAATCGAGGAGTCATTGAGAAATTCGCTAATTCCCATTCATATGAAAGTCCGAAATTCTGTGTGGTGATCACCCTCCTTCATCACTAGCTATTTTGTGAGTTTGCTTTGCGAGAGAGTTGATCAGATCGATTAGAGTTTGAAATTATCAAATGCCATCTTGAATTCGTTGGGTTGACCGCAAAAGAAGTAATATTGAGGTGGGATTGGAAGTGGAGTTGGAGACTCGGCGTGACTCACTGTACATTTTGTCGCTTCCATTTCGTGCCCCTACTAATAGTATTTTATGTTGAATATTATACCCGATTTAGGAATCATGAAGAGATATGAAATATGGAGAAGTGATTTGAATTGAAGTGATTCTAAGCTTTTCTCGCTAGTTAAGCTCTTTAGTTACATTGTCACTTGAACCGTGGATAAATGACTCTGTAAAGTCACTTCTATCTGACATTAAGCTTGAGAATAGCTTCAAGATCTGCCCCTAGTGGAGAGCCTGTATAGTTCGCACTCGCGAAGTCTAATTTTCGATATTCGAACACCTATAGCAGGCAGGGTCTACAATCTATTGTCGGTGATTGAACTGAGTGTCTAGCAGAAACCTTTATTGAAAGTGGAGTTCGAGTTACACTGTAACTTTATAAAGTTACCTACCCCAGAACATATTAAGCTTATTTTTCAATCTTTACCTTTTCCCGGGTTGAAGAGAAATGGATCAAAAAATCATTCACTTCGGTCAGTCCCTACTCATATATCTTTTGTCCTTCGATGCGTCTTTCTGTTCAGGATTTAGTGTGTTTCGAAGTATGAATTTATACAGTAGGTTACTGGACAACCCTTAGGCAGTCTAATCATCGCTTAATAGGACGAAGCGTAGTTGACGAAACTTCCGAATGAGTAACGGAGTAATATTGAGATGCTATAGATTAGAAGCGGGGTAGAATAGAGTCAAAATAAAGTTAAAGTGGGGTTGACATAAAGTTAGAGTGATTTTAGTGTGATATTGAAAGTAATATTGTTAGAGTAATGCTAGTCTGATGCAGTTGCATGGAGCTGGTGTGATATTGGTGATAAAGTTGGAGTGATACATTAGAAGCTAGCATGTTGATGTGAAAACGTTGGTGAAAGTGATGCATTAGAAGTGGAGTTATGTGTAATTGGTGTGATGCCGATGTTGGTGTTTTGTTGGAAGCTGTTGTGTTGTAATGGCTCTCATTGCCCACTTATCTCAACTGACACTCCCTCATTCTCACATTCTCTCTTTTAACTGCGCACAATAAGCTATGGACAGAGGCAATATTATATCCATGACACCATTCTAGCAGATGCACATACTTAGGCACGACGCCCAAAATCTTGCAGGCCGAGACATCAACAGCATTTTCATCGATAACACTATACATATATAACCTATACACTACTTACAATGTCTCAACCACCAACGTTACTCACCCTTCCCCCGAGATCCGCCAGAAGATCCTCCATTATGCCATCTACGTCCCCAGGCTCGTACCCGCCATTCCAAATGCCATACTTGTGTCCAAGCCGCCCCCTGTCTCGAAGAGCCCATTCGCGGATAAGATCCCAGACGACAAGCATAAGAGGTTCTACGGCACCGAAAAAATGAGCTCCATCTTTGTTGTTTGCCGCCTCATCCACGCTGAGCTCGAAGAAATCCTCTTCACCCGCTTCATCTTCTCATTCCCGCATTACATGAGGCTGGCCACCGTACAAAAACTCACGAACACGATTAGTCCCCGAGCATGTACATTGCTACGGGAGGTAATGGCGATCATCCATTTTGACGGTAGGGGGGATGAATATCCATTGCAGAAACAGGAAGCCTTGACATATTTAAAGAGAAAGCTGCCGGGGTTGAAGAAGGTGCATTTGGCAGTTGGGTTTGTGGCAGCACCGCTCGATGGTGTGTTGGTAAAGAGGAGACGAGATGGGTTCGCGGATATGATTATGGAGTTTGTAATCAGTTTCGCGTCGGGGATTGAAGTTGTGGTTACTAATAGTGATTCTCAGCAGTGTGGAAAGGGTATTATGCAAGCTTTTGATGAGAAAGTGGAAGAGCTGATGGCGAGCTCAAAAATGAAGGCAGCAGACTATGACATAAAAGTTGTGAGAGAGCGGAGACGCTTGATTTGAGAAGATAACGATAACCTCTTCCCTTCCTGTTCCTCTCTCTGGACCATCAGTAGGCATTTATATATCTTTTCTGTAAGGTTACTAGCCTTTATTTCTTCTATAGATAGATAACCTAAATCAACTATACAAAAATTCCAAAGGTAACCTCATAGCCTCATAGCCTCATAGCACATGACCATCATCTCCATCCAACCACCCTGCCCCGCATTTCGACATGCTGCACGTGATGTGGGGTAACCTTAAACTCAATGGCTAGATACTTCCGATACTGATCTCTTTAGACACAACCTGTACATAATTACTAGTATTTATGATGGAGGGAATTTTTGGTTGACCATTGATCATTAGGACACACTGCATGAAGATCTACCGTCGATACTCTTAGATTATAGAAGTGTTCTTGAAAGAATCAAAATATGCATGTGGAGGCGAATATGTCGTCGAGCAAGGCTTATATTCTAGTTCCGCAGTAGAGGCTGAGGATTTACACTAGAAGTATTTCTTGGTTCTAGAGTCATCAGCTGAGTTCCCCTAAGCTCCTTAAGTTCACGATCTTCATGATTAGGGAAGCATTGGAAAAACACTATAATAACAATTGATAATCCAGAATGTTGGTACTTTTTAGTGCTTCTACTCCTACTATATTGCATAGTAACATTGCTATCAGGGCCCATAGCCAAACCTGAAAACTTTCAAAATGTCCATCTGACCTTTCCTACGATATCTCCTTCTCTAAGACAGCTGGGGCCTTAATGGTCTGGCCCTTTAGCTTCTCGAGTTCCTCTCCAGCCTAGAGATGTGTTAGCTTGATCAAGTTGGAAGGTGATTAGAATCAACTTACATAGCTGATCAATGGAGAAACTTCGATACCATCGTCAGTACTCTCCCCAATAACAGTAGCACCCGCGGCTTGTACCCATCGTTTCCCTTGATCCATGATATCTTTCTTACTAGTATCTGGGTCATCCTCTCCGGTTCCTTTTGCGTTCTTCAGTGGTGAGAATTCATCCTCACGTTTGACTTCCATACAAGCAAATTTGTCAAGTTCCAACATTGGGAAGACATCAAAAACAAATTGTTCAAGCTTGATACCGTTTGGCTTCTCAGGTTTGACGGTTGTACCCTTCTCAGTATCAACGTAAGGAATCTTCTTTCGTGCAACATGATGGGGTAATTTGTGGACCCATACAGGGATCGATTCCAGAAATCGGAAAGAGTAGTAGTGATTAACGATATTTGCTGCCCTGAACTTCAAAACATCTGGTTGCTTAGCATCCTTGGCTTCAGCAGTCTCCTTATCGATTTCAGAGTATTCAACTACATCTGGCTTGCCATTCTTGAGGAGGATCAGACCAACAGATTCGGTAGCATTTCTCTTTCGTACAACCTTGGTAGCAATATCGACATCCTTAGATGCTGAGAATCCAATAAATACTGGATCTGCCACCTTAACAAGACAATTGTCTACACAGTAAGCGTGAATGTGTTGAATACCACGCTTTGTCATGTCAGACAAAACATTTGATGTAACAATGGCTTGGTAAATACCACCATTTCCATCCGGTGCAACAGCAACCTTACCCTTACTCTCCAAAAGGATCTTCCCATCATTCGAGATACAAGGAAGAACCCCTTGTTCGAAGATAATAACATTCTCCTTTTCTAAACCAAAGTAACCATTTTCCTCAAAGTACTTTTCGGTAGGTCCTCGTGTTGGCCCACTGGTCATAACATACCAAGGAACAACCACCTTTTTATCCGCTGCATAACCAGCCTTCTTATGTGCCAATCTTTGAACTCTGCGAATACGTTCTGCCTGTATTTGAAAAAGAGATTTCCCGGAAGGTAGACCAATATTGAAGCAACCCTTAGGAGCTGAACTGCCTAAACGGGTTCCTTGGCCACCAGCCATCAACACGACTGCGACCTTATTCTCTGCCATTAAATCCAAGCCCATCCCATACCACTTCTCAATATCTTCAGCTTTTGAATCAAGGATACTGGCAGTTGCAGATTCAGGGAGTGGTTTAAGGCCCGTTCCTTCGTCGACATCTTGAGCTTTGGGTGGATTGAGTGCTTTATCGGTGATTTCATTAATATATTCTGGATCGAAACTGGAGAGTTGTTCGTAAAGAGCAGCTTTTTCTGCGATGTCGAGAGTATCGTAGAAAGCAAAAACTTGGTCTTGTTTTGCTTTGGTGTACTTCTCCTTGAGCTGTTCGAGCTCGGTCGAGCTGGGCTCTTTAGGAGGGGCAGCTTCTGCTTTGCCCCCAATGTGCAAAGTATCAAGTACTTTCTGAACGGATGCCATGATTTTGTATTATACGAAAGAGTGTTTTTGAATTCTGTATGATATGAAGTGTGTGATGAAGCGTATGATAACTGAAAAGGTAAAATAATAAAATATGATCCGGGGGATTGGAATTTATATGATTTTTGGGTTTAGCTGTCTTATTGACAGAAGGTACGAACAGCACAGCCCCACCATTCACTCACCGTTACGAGAAGATGAGGTCGCTAGAACAACAGCATAACCTTACCTGGCTGGCACTACCGTATTCTATTTATATTAATTGGGTGGTAACCTCATTAATGTGCCATTCCTTTCTGCTTTATTTGACACGACAACATTCGTATTCTTTCTTTCTTTCTCTGTCCGTTGGTCAATGTATGTGTGAGGGCAGACAACAGTTACACATAAAGGCTACACACATGTTGAACATTTTTGAGTCCCTTCGTGTTACTTCTGTTCGTATCGCAATTATATGATCATCATGACGGAAAATTCATCGTATAGCTCTACGTCATTGCTATTCCCTACTTAAATATTACCGACCCTGGAGATCTACATCGCAGATCTGTGTATACTCAGCGCCTTAACATTACTCTATGCCGTCCAGCAATATGGATAAACAACAAAATTCCAAATACTTCAAGCGTGAAGAGGTAGAGATACATGCTACAACTAATTTATCAGCACCAAGCTTTGGAAGCCGTTTAAACCTCTCATCATTCACATACTCTGCAGATCCACCTTCACACTCTATCCGACAGAGTCCCCGTCGGATATTATCGAACTCATCGACTCCACAACTATCTCCCTCTCCCATCAAACGCAAAATCGATATAGAATCCTCTGTATCTGCGAACACTTCGACCTCCCCACTCAAAAAATCCCGAACTCGACGCTCCACAGGCTACGCGCCACCATCCCTCTACGCGCATCTTCCATTCCTCCCAGATGTCGTAGCCCCAAATCTCCTCTGCTTATTTGTAGGCCTCAATCCCGGTCTCGAGACCGCTAGAGTGGGACATGCCTATGCGCACCCTTCCAATCGTTTCTGGAAAACACTCTATTCTTCTGGTTGTACTACTCGTCTTCTGAAAGCGGAAGATGATGTGCGGTTACCTGAGTTGTATTCTTTAGGGAATACAAATATTGTTCAAAGACCGACGAGAAATGGGGGTGAGCTGTCCAAAAAAGAGATGGATGATGGGGTAAGCATATTGGAAGAGAAAATTAGGATGTATAGACCAGAGGTGGTGGCGTTGGTGGGGAAGAGCATTTGGGAGAGTGTGTGGAGGGTGAAGAAGGGGAAGGCGATGACGAAAGATCAATTTAAATATGGGTGGCAGTCGGAAGAAGAGAATTTGGGCATCGTGAGGGGTGCAGAGTCCTGGATGGGAGCAAGAATTTTTGTTACATCCAGTACATCTGGATTGGCTGCATCACTGTCACCGGCGGAAAAAGAAGAGATATGGAGGAAATTGGGATCTTGGATAGAGCAAAGAAGAAAAGAGAAAGCTGGCATACATAGAGTTAAAGAGGAGCTAGAAAACAGTGGTTGAATATCTTACTGCAAGGTTGGACATTTGCATTTTTGCATTTTCCATCAGTCTTGGACATTGCAACCATTTTACACATTAACCCTACATCCGAACGCATTACATCCGATTAGATTATAATGCTTAGATTTGGCTGTAATAGAGTGGCCTTTTCCTGTTCCATGAATAGTATGAGTGGCCTCTTCTCTTCGCCTACTTTGATGAAGGAACGAACTCTAGCTCAAGCATGCTATAGAGGTATGATGATATGGAGACTTCAAATCCGTGTTTCAAAAAGCTTGGAAGACTTACACGTCAAGCTCTCTAGTTTATGACTACCATTCTCATCAACAAAACCACCTCGATTACATTAGAATAAAATACGCACTCCCAAAAATCATCAACTTGTATCCATTTCCAACATGTTCACTGGTTTGAACCATCGGCCGAAAGTATCGATGGTCAAAAGCTGCAGTGCTTGACTTAACGACCAAATTCGGTCACTTTCGGTCGTGTTACGTTACCCCCTCGCAGCTGCTTTCCCCGCCGGTTCGACCGAATTTTCGGTTGCTCCCATGATGATATTGACTATTTCATCTTATGGTTCCTATCAAGAGAAAATGAATTATCCTTTTGGGTCTCTAGCTCGGAAAATTAATTTGGCAACCCAAAACATCTTTCGGACCCGATACGAGTACCCTTATTTCACCTTCCTTGCCCACATGATGATGCTCTACATAAATACCCCGTTGTTACCGTTACGTTTCTCATCCTCCCCCAAGCTATTTTACAAGAACAAGAATCGTTAAAGGCGCAGCAACATCAACAACATATCAAATTTTCAACCATGACGACTCTTCCATCAACATTCAAAGCTCTACGCTTCAGCACCCTTGCGGGACCTCTAACCATCGAAGAACAAAAGATCTCTTCGGTCCACACACCCAAAACCATCCTGATCAAGGTTCATTTTGCGTCTATTAACCCGGTTGATACACAACTATGGCGTGCAGGCATGATTGCTCTTGTTTCCAGTTCCAAAGGTATGGGACGTGATTTCTCTGGCACGATCGTGGATATTGGGAATCAGGTGAAGGGAAATTGGTCTATTGGAGATGAAGTATTCGGGTTTTTGTTCGAAATGGTATGTTTATTCATTCACTAGGTTTTTGGAGTCTTGGAATTTATTGAAATGGGTTACTGAGAGGAAGATAGTACGGCCAGGGAACATTCAGTCAATATATTACTCTTGATCCACTTTCACACCCAATGGTCAAGAGACCCAATTGCTTATCACGTGAAGCTGCAGCAGCTATTCCACTTGCTACACTGACGATGTTTTCTTCTTTCAGTTGGATTCCTCCGGCTAGAGGTACCTCGCAGAGAAGAGTGATTGTGCGAGGGGCATCAGGAGGATGTGGATCATGGGCTGTTCAAAGTGAGTCTCTGCCTTTCCCGCAGAAATCTTATAAATTTTGTGAACTGATTTTAACAAACCTAAAAGTGGCAAAACATATGTACAATTGTCACGTCACAGCCATATGTTCCAGCAAAAACGTAGACTATGTCAAAAGTTTAGGAGCCGATGAAGTGATAGATTACACTTCCCAACCAGTCCTACAAACATTGCTCGACAGCAAAACTGCATCAACTGATTTCGATCTTTTGGTAGATTGCGTGGGTGGGACAGAGCTTATTCCTTACTACGTACGTTTCCTCACAAACTCAGAGTCCTATCCTATTCCTCTAACAATTACTCACAGCATGAACTTCTTCATAACAAGGGAGCATACGTTACAATAGTAGGCGACAAGACTGACCTACATGTCATGGGAGGTCCCATGGCATTCTTGTCTCATCCCAAAATGATATGGAGATTTATAGCAGGCTGGATATGGGGTCCTCGCTATGCAGTTAGTGCTATGAATAGAGATCCCAAATGTTTAGAGGAGATTGTGAAATTAGCAGAAAGAGGGGAAGCGAAGGTTGAGATTCAGGAAGTTATCAAAGATGCATTGAACGAGGAGAAACAGGAGTGGCTTAGAGCTATTGAGACCATTGAGAGTGGGAGGGTAAAGGGGAAAATTGTTCTTGAGATTTTGTAATGTGGATGACTATCTGGTAAAAATAATATAATTTTGACTTGGAAGGGCCCCGGAGCTATGGATTCAAAATGTCCCTGGTTGAGAGAAACTATCCGTCTAGCCAGTAGTCTTCAGAATGCGATTATCCTCTGTTTTCTATGTATTTGACGCATATTGTAGCGGAATCTATTCATTGAGAGGCTCTGGAGGCCATTATTACTTTTAACTCTAGCGCACATCCTCACGGGAGCAGAAGTGCTCTAATTAAAAAGGCTTAGTAGCCTCATATTTCTACATGAAATACTTTCTGCCGTCGTCTTGTACATAATCCCATAGCTTCGCACGTCTCAATAGCCCATGGGGGTTCATAGCTAGATGGATCATCCCCATCCTCCGCACGTAATTAAATATCATCCTCATCAGAATTATCATCAATTGTATCTCTTAACGAAACGCCAACGGGTAATTTACTAACTGTAATTCTGAAAAAGAAAGAAAGGGATGCGAATTCAGGGAACTGAGTAAGAGCTAAATCATTACTAGGTGTACGTTTTCGATGCACATTTGAAGTATTGGAGACCGCAGCAAGCTTAACGTATCTTATAGATCATTAGAGTAATTGTGAGTCGTAAGATTAGGCAGTTCGAAGATGGATGGATGGATGGATGGATGGATGGATGAGACGTGTGGATATAGCATTTACTTGTGAGTTGCGTGCTCATTTTAGAAGAATAGTTTTCTACTTCTTGTGTTTGAGAAATAGAATCGAGATGTTGTGATGGTTATTTATTTATTTATTTATTTATTTATTTATTTATTTATTTATTTATTTATTTATTTATTTATTTATTTATTTATTTATTTATTTATTTATTTATTTATTTATTGGGATCTTGGTATAATTAATATTTTTATCATATATAATTTAATTACTAATAAGATCTTTTTTGAGTAAAGCGAGAGTCACAGTACTAGTGACAGTACTAGTGACAAACAAATGGAAATGTTAAATACTTATCCGAGCATTAGATATAGTTATAGGGTTTCCAACAGGAATGGATATCGATATCGATATCGATGTGTTTATAGGTACTAAGAGTCTTACAAGGAAAGGAAAGCTTGCTTCAACTTGGAAGAAAAGATAGGCCCCGATATCGATCGATCATCTATATAATATAAAAGGGAAACCATATTTACCTTGGTACATCTGATGCATTTGGCTTTTCTGTGGAATTTATTTGTAGTTGGAAGTCATTATGTGCTTGTGTACGGTGGAAAGCTGCTTCTTTATTCGAATAATCTGAAATGGAAATATATAGTATAAGAAGAATCTAATCTTAAAAGGAAGAGATCCTCTTGCAAGTTGCCCCCGTCACGATTGATGTTATTTCTATATCAGGTCCTACACTAGTATGTTTTCTTGATGATATGTAGTCAAGGCGTGGGCGATGCGTCAATTCAGCTCTACTACGATTGTAAATAGGTAGGTGAGAAACGAACGGACTTGATCTATTTGCTCCAAAATGGACTTTATTTTTTAGGCATAGACAAATTATAGCCTCTAAGGAGAATCTCATCAATTAGTTGCAAGTATCTAGAGCATTTTGGTTGATTTTGCAACTCCTTAGATGCTTTTCATGCACGGACAGGAATAACCTTAATGTAGATCTTAGAAATTCATAAGATTTTGTACCTTTTACCGAAATTCCTTTGTAAGATTTGAACCATACCTAGGCTACTAGAGTAATTGACTTGTAAATACACCCGTTGGATCCCATTCCTTCTTCAAAGCTCTCAGACGAGCAAGCCTCTCTCCCCCTCTATACCTGCGCTCAATAGGATCCACCCTAGTACCGTTCTGGAAGTCCGCAAAATTTGCCACGTCGTCGCCGCGCACAGCAGTAATAGATTTAGCATTAAATTCGTCGACCTTGGCGCGATTCTTAGCATCTGTGTGCCAGATTAAGTTATTCCTATATCAATTAGCTTATGGAACATCATAAAGGAGTCAGAAATGTTTTGCTTACTGCCAGTAACGGATGTCATGAAGACACATGGCTGATTCGAAGTCAGGCGTCTTGACGGGTCTCGCGTCCCACTGGAAGTTGAACGCGGTATTGATTGCATCTGGACACTCGGCAATCATCTCTGTCCATATATCAATGGTTTTCAGAAAACCTTCTTGGTCGAATCGGTGGAGACCGACAACACCAAAGCGTTTGAAACCTCCCTTGGCACCAAGTGCCTCACGTCCATCACTTGCATTTTGAATGGGTACCGCAGCACCATGAGCAACGATTGGCTTAAGGTCATGCAGAACTTTATACGCCTTTGGCGCGTCGTCGGGGTTACCGGTGTAGCGAGCCGCGATGACTAGACATGGGTTTCGTGCTGGCGGTGGTGCCATGATCATCATGAGGCCAGCTGTTGCATAGCGGCTATCATTCATCAAATCCTCCATAACAGAAGTCACTTCCCGGGCACGAGCCAGTGGAAAGACAAAGCTACCGGCCCATATAACACCTTTATCGTTTCCGAGGGCTTTTAAGGAATGAAGCTTGATGGTAAGCTGCGTGATGAGGCCGAAAAACTGCCCGGCACCACGTATAGCGTAGAGAAGACCTGGATGTGTTTTGTCGTTCACATCTAGCAGTTCTCCCTTTGCAGTTATCATATGCGCCGAGAGGATTTGGTCCGATCCGAAGCCTGTTATAGAAGAAGTAATCGAGGCTCCTCCGCCAAGAAAGTAGGGGATGGCGCCCACTGTATTGCCATTTCCCAGAGCTAGATGCAATAAATCAGCCTCGCTCCCTAAAAAAAGAAATTGTCAATATATACCTGTGAAAAATCCAGCATCCGCAAGTGCTACAGCTACATCTTTAGAAAGGATGCTTCCTTTGAGAGTCGCTGTGTTAGATTTTGTGTCCACTTCTACTCCCTTGTATAGGCTTAAATCAATAATGATGCCGTCGCCGCCAATAGTAGACCATTCACTGTGACCTCCGCTTTTGGTTACGAAAGGAACAGAGTATTTGGAAGCCCATTGCACCTAGGTTGCCCGTTAGCAAGGACTCAAGGTAGACGACTAAATGCAATAGCTCCTTACAATCTTTTGACAGTCAGCCTCTGAGCTTGGCAGCACTATAGCGCCAGGAGTTTTCAGATCAATATCTGTCCATCGCTTCAGGTGCTCCACAAACTTAAGATCCTTAGGATCCGTTAGGATCTCGCAGGTCGGACTTAAGGTAGCCCTTAGTTCTGGGAGTTGTGTGAGAGAACTCATCGTGAGGAGGATGATCACGTTTTTTAATTTGGATAACTTGTCGTTGATATTATGAAGAGAAGAGAGCTCTGGCCATATTCACATTCACAATAATGTTTGCTGGACTAACGGTTGCGCAGTTGATGTTTTGTTTGTATGTGGCTGTGCCTCTCTCAAGCCTTACTGGCAGATGCTTAATTATTTCGGAACAGGATTTCCATATATCCCGGAGAAGAGGGGTGTACTGTCACGCCACGCCATAGACATTTACTAACACCATGCGTTTCAACACTGTTACACCTGCAAGCTCGACCTTAATTGGGAAAATTAACATAATAGAACATGCATCCGGTACGGATTTCAGAACGTGCAAGCCATGTGGAATTATCTCGGAGCTTATTGAGTCATGTTACGGTAGCATGCGTAAGCCCGTTTTGACTTGAACGATTACTGTATTATTATTATATAAGACTTATAATAGATGAACGAAATTTGGTGGATTTTGGAGATGTTGAAAGGGGTGTTAGTCAAGTGGGTACTACTTAGTGCTGATACTATGTAGGATTATCGGTAACCAAATTTTACTTTGAGAGATACTGGTCGTCGGGAATACAAACCAAATTAGGAAGCCAGCCAGGTTTTAAAAGAATGCAGTGTAGTACCGGTGGTGTCTGCGCCGCAGATATGCATTGAACTACTGAACATTCTTACCGCATATACGGAGTGGTATGCCGAGTCCCACGTTTACCATTTGGTGAGATACATTGGAGAATTATCAATATAGATAAAGCAGAGAGCAAAGAAGGAAAAGAACAGGAGATGATAATCCTTTTGCAATCCCCCTTCTTAAAAGTGCTTGCATAGTGTGACAGGATGCATATAAATCTTACTTGTTTTCCATCGATCGTTCGATGGTATATTTGGTTAGGAGCCGGTTATGAATGGCACTTTCAAGGTTGTGAGCTTAGGTTGCATCATGTCACGGTTAAAGTAGTCGTCCACGCAATGGAATCCTATCGGCTTAGGCTTAGAATATGGAGATATGAGTGGAGTCAGAATATTAGCTGTGAACATCTGATCTGGCTTATGTGCTGCTTGCTTACTCAGCAAGAAAACCTGATACATCAGATAAGAAAGCGCAGCCAAGGAAGAATATGCAATTGGTGGGTGTTTACGAACTAATTCCTGATGCCATGAATAGAAGGTGGCTTGGGGTGTCCTAGATTCATAATTGATCAGTTCTTTACATTAATTTTCATTTTTCAGCTGTTCTTTCATTAATGTTTCATAGAGCTGAAGGGACGAGATTTAAAATTCTACAATTCGAAGGTCTTGGATGAAGAAATGAAGGTCGGTTAAAGTTACAAAAAGTGATGAATAGCTTCATCACTTTGGCGACTTGGTAATCTGCCACTTCTGCACACGTTGGTTAGTTCTACGCGCGCGGCTTTTGGGCTTACTGTGCAGCTAATAAATCTGAATTCTTAATGCCACAAATATAGATTTCATGTTAACCTTCTTTTGGAGCTAAATGTGTAATGTTACAGTAAGATGTCACCGGAGCTCCCTCCTCATGTTCCTTTCCTATAGTTCATTCATGACCCCTGAAGTTCTGTTTGCGACGCCTCAGTCTTGACCCGGGCTGCTCCGCACACTTTCTACCAAATTACAATCCTGCAAATGTAAAATGCCTTCCTTCTATACAGAAGCTCTCTGTCTCAATATTTAGGTATTAGTTTTCCTCATCGTACAGCTCACAACCCGCAATCTTACTTGTCCAACTCGTCCTAACCCCACACCACCTTCTAACCCCACATACACGAGCCACTATCAAACCTCAATATGGCATATGGAGGTGATGTCAATCGAGGGCCATTCTTGACCACCATCAATTGGGTATTCAACGCGATCGCATTAGGTATAGTTTCCACCTCACCGTGGTTTCCAAATGCAAAACCTAACGTTGTATTCTCGGGATAGTTGCTGTGCTTCTTAGACTCGCCTCGCACCATTGGAGAGAGTCTCAGGGATGGAAAAAAGATGATGCGTTTATCATTCTTGCTATGGTCAGTTGCAAGCCTTGTCGAATCAAGCATCACTGCTTGTACTCATACTAAGTACTTTTTATACGCAATAGGCAGCAAACCTTGCCAGAGCAATCTATGTCGATGTTACCATCTCCCATGGCCTTGGACGTCATCTCGAAGTTTTACTCGAAGAGAACCCCTCTGGTGCCGTTGCACTTCTTCGTTTGATAGTAATTCTCCAGGCCATTGGACTATGGACTTTTACCCTGCCAAAGCTTCCTGTGGTGGCGTTACTTGTCAACATCTTCGGCCGTAATTCCAAGAGACTTGCAATTATCCTATACACCGCAGTTGGTGCTTTAATCGTGCTTGTCTTTATTATCACCATCACAACTTTTGTACAATGCACACCGGTATCAGGTAATTGGACTGGGAAGGGCAAATGTTGGAACAAAAATATCAATGTAGATCTTGGTTATCTTGCTGGATGTTAGACTCCCTTCTTACCTTCACGTTATTCCTCGCTGACATTGACTTTAGCATACTCGGCGTTTCTGGACTTTGCCTTTGCATTATACCCCGTATTGCAAGTCTCTAAATTGCAAATGGAACGATCGAGAAAGATTCTCTTAGCGGGGTCATTGAGTCTTGGATTTCTGTACGTGTAAAAGATTTTAGGGCGACCTTTCAGATATACTAATCATCCCTATTTCTGTGTAGTGCCGGCATCATAACAGCGTACAAGCTCTCTACGATTTCTTCAATAACGAATGTAGCAGATCCGACTTGTAAGTTGATCGGGCTCAAAGCAAGTACTTCCCATACTAATAGTAAATTTCAGGGGCTACTATACCATTGGAAGTCTGGAACAGGTAAGTTCTAAATTCGAACTTTGAACATTGCAATAGTAATAACTCGTAAAATTTAGTGTCGAAGGAACAGCTCTCATTTTGGCTGCCTCTATTCCCCTCACCCGACCACTTATACTGTCTTTCTTTCAAGGCATTCAAGCTCTCACTTCCCGAATGGGTAGCAGTAGCGGTAGCCGCACTGCTAGATCCAGCAAGAATTCCCATGGAAGGTCGATCAACAGATCTAGCAACCACAAACGTCTCCCCAGCAATGGAGTATCAAATAGCACAGATGATATCTTGCTTCACGAGGGTTCAGGCTTTGAGAACTGTAGTAATATTGAAGCTGGCAAACATCGTCAAAGTGGTCCGGGGATATACAAGACGGTTGATATCTTAGTTAAGACTAAAACATTGTCAACCTGAATATTTGACAATATGAAGATCAATAGTGTGATAAAACGTTTTGAGTAGTTTGTACTCGAAATTCTGAGTCTTTTAATTCTTCGGTGGACGAATGATATACATGTACATACTATTCATGCTCCCTTCAGTTGAATATACTTACAATAAAATTCTTATACTCATAGATATATGCAATGATGACCTGAAATTTCTCGGACAAAAGGATTGAAAGCTTGCATGTGAAAGTATTACATTGAAATAATTGAGACTAAAAGGCTACGCACTAAAGATTATCGGTACGACAAGCTTGAAAAACAAAATTGCTTTTTAATTAACACTTAAGGCCCATACCCTCCAAAGCCTGACCAAAGCTGCCTCTCCAAGTATCAATTCCCATTTGGCCAAACGCAACACCAACCTCTTTCTTCAATTTTCCTCCTTCATCAACCTCATTCAAGCTCTCGAAAGCCTTCCCTATGTACTCATCCAGCGGCATAGGCTTGAAGGCTTTTTCAGCACCGCCTTGCATCTGATTCACCAAGTCTCGATGCTCGCTGTCCAAGCCAGTGTCTGTATATGGTGGTACAATCTCAACGACGCTGAAATATTTCTGTGTGGTCTCAGGTGTAAAACTGATTTGTTGGCGGAGAATCACGAGGAAAGAGTGAATAGCTGCTTTGGTAGGGCAGTAGACTGGATAAAATGCCATAGGAAAAAAGGCGAGGGATGAACTTGTGATCAATAGATTTGCGTATTTGCCTGCGGAGGCAAGGGAGATAAGGTGGGGAACGAAAAGCTGCGTCAAGAGAACGGGGGCTGTGAGGTTCGAGTTGATTTCGTTGATAACGTCTGCGGGGGTGCTAGTGGATGGGTCTATGAGAGACGATGACTTTTGGATGCCTGCATTGATGAAAACTGTGTCTAGGGTAGGGTGTGATTTTAGAATATTTGCGACTTGGCCGGGCAGTTCTTTAAAGTCCGTGATATCCCACTGTGTAGTGTCATGTCAGCCGCGTAATTCTTTCCTAGGTTTAACTGAAGAAAGTGGCGAAAATAGCAAGAGCGGGACTTTCTAATGCAGGGCACGTATACCTGAACTGTCTCGATCCCCGAGAGCTCCTCTTTTAAAACAGAGAGTCTGCCGGCTCTGCGACCCGTGACGATCACTTTCTTTCCCGAGGCATGAAAGCGCCTAGCAAACTGTTCACCTATGCCGGATGTCGCTCCGATGATTAGAATCGTATTGATGTTCGCAGCCATTTTTACTAGGCGGGATTGATGGTGGATCAGGTTTGGAATAGAGTGGAACAGAAGTGGAGAATTGAAGGAAATCGGGGCAAATGTGCAAGAGCGTCTGTTTGCCCCGCATCGTTATTATAATGCTGGTTTCTCACTTGCTTACTGAGCTTCTATGACTACGGTAATTGTATAATTGAATATGTAAAGTGCAACAGTGCAACACAACGGCTGATTACAAGAATCTGCTCATATTCTCACCCATTTGTGTTACCATCATCTCCAGCACTTGAGCGGCGTAGAAAGGAAGCTAATTTTAGATCACATCAGCATAAGCCTTGTCCGGAACTCCTTTCGAAAGTATGATCGCTTAGCCACCATAATATATCAACAATACAAACAGCTGGAAGATGCCAATCCGTTAAATCGTACGAGAGACAAGTGTGAATCAAGGAGTGTCAGATTCCGAGGAGAATGCGGGCATTATTGCTGACTGCTTCGTCCGGACTACGGCGGTTGCGGAGGATGGATTTGCTAGGTATTGTGAGTCTTAGCTTCGGCAACAGTACACGGTGGTAGATTGATTGATCGATCATTAACATCCTCATAATGTAATAATGGTAGATAACGTTTTTAGTTATTCTGGACTAGCCCTGATGCAGATGCAGCTGTAGCCATATATAATTTCAAAAATGAGGCTTAACTTTGGCAATCCGAATTCAACCAATAAACCAGTAAGATCAACAAAAAACCTCCAGAAACTAACTATTTGCTGTTGTTTATCCGGCTTTCGTCTCCACTCACACCAAAAAATACCCGGGGAGAAAGTTGCATGGCTAAGCTATACTCCATAGATACAGTAAGTAGCATGCATTCCGCATGCCCGCGGCTAAGTTTATGCATAAAACTCGTCACACCTTCATTTCCCAAATGGCAACTCAAAAACAGCTTATAGTTTGAAGTGTAAATAAATAAAATTCCTACTAGTAAACGATGTAATTTAAAATACCATTCGAGAAAGATACGAACGTCTTTCCTTATATATAGCTGCTATCGTTGAGAGGTAGAAATAACACCAAGCTACCCGCCAACGACAATATATAACCGCTAAAATGCGTTTCAATCACGTGTCTTCAATTTGTCATGTGCTTGCCGTGCTTTTCCCCACCTTCGCTAACTCGTCTCCTGACCCTGCATCATCTTTTATTTTCGGCACACTTGGTGTGGATGCCACCTTCGATTATGTCGTGATTGGCGGGGGAACTGCCGGTCTGGTAGTTGCAACGCGGCTCTCGCAACAGCCGAATGTGTCTGTTGCGGTAATCGAGGCGGGAGGATTTTACGAGATCGACAACGGGAATCTGAGCGTGGTACCCTCTGACGATACCTTTTTCACGGGATATAGTCCAGCCGATACCAATCCTCTGGTAGATTGGAGCTTTGTGACTGTTCCCCAAGCTGTAAGTGCCTCCTAGCTATCGACTATCCGGGCATAGGCACGCCCTTAGATCACAAATTCTTACAAGCTTCTTTCCCTAGGGCATGAATGATAGAACACTGCATTATGCGAGAGGAAAGTGTCTGGGTGGAAGGTATGCTCCCATATTTTTGCCCTTCCTCTGATTTGTATGATCTCTCCTCACAAAATTACCTCGCACAGTTCTGGCCGAAATTATTTTACGTACCAACGTGGAACCAAGCAATCATATCAGAGATGGGCCTCTGAAGTAGGCGACAGCTCCTATGAATTCGATTCATTATTACCATACTTCAAGAAAGGTGTTAACTTCACCCCTCCAAACAATGCCCTTAGGCCATCAAATGCTTCGTTGAGCTATAATGCCAGTGCCTTCGATCCTAATGAAGGGCCACTTCAGGTCTCCATTCCAATTTGGGCCAACCCATTCTCTTCATTTGCAAAACTTGCCTTTGAGTTACTTGGATTTCGATCGGAACTGGATTTTGTTAGCGGAACACTTTCTGGTGTACAATATAACATGAATACCATAGATCCGAAGCAACAAACCCGGAGCTCATCCGAATCATCCTACCTAAGTACAGCAGCAACCTCATCATTAAGAGTTTTCAATGGAACATTGGCAAAGAAGATTTTGTTCAACGGTACAACTGCTTGCGGAGTGTTAGTTAACACTAGTGGTGAAGAGTATAAGCTGTTTGCAAAGAATGAGGTTATTTTGTCTGCCGGAGCAGTAAGCAACTATTTTTTGCAAGAATCGTTACCACAGCTAACAATTGATCAGTTCCAATCACCACAGTTACTTATGGTATCAGGGGTGGGACCTAAGTCGACATTAAACCAATACAACATCCCTATAATCTCAGAACTGCCGGGGGTAGGCCAGAATATGTGGGATCATGTAGTCTTTGGTCCGAGCTATCAAGTCAGCGTTATCACTCATTCTGCGGCATCAAATGCATCTTATCTTGCATTAGCTACAGAACAGTATTACAAAAATGGTTCAGGCATGTTAGGCAATCCGGGTGGCGATCTTATCGCCTGGGAGAAACTTCCCAACCCTTACCGCAAGTCGCTAAGCGGAGCAACTCTCAAGGAACTTGCCACTTTCCCAAAAGATTGGCCGGAGATCGAATATCTAATTCTGGATGCGTATGCCGGTAACCGTTCTAACCCCATTGCATATGCACCTAATACTCCATACATGTATGCCGCTCCCGCGGCAGCACTTGTTGCTCCACTAAGCCGGGGAAATGTCACTATTTCCAGTACCGACACAGCCGACCCCCCTCTTATAAATCCCAACTGGCTTTCGCATCCAGCAGACCAAGAGCTCGCCGTTGCAGCATTCAAACGCATCAGAGAGCTTATGGATACTGATGAGATGAAAAGCATCACCGTTGGGAGTGAAATTTTCCCGGGACTGGATGTGTGTACTGATGCGCAGATTTTGGAATCCATTAGAAATTATAGCACGATGGTTTTTCATGCCTCCGCAACTTGTAAGCACATTTCCCTCCCATTTGTCCCATGTTAAAGCAAAATCGTGAAGTTCGGAATGCTAATGAAGGAAACGTATAGGTAAGATGGGCGTTGCGAGCGATCCGATGGCCGTAGTAGATTCGAAGGCTAGAGTCTTTGGAACCAGTAAACTACGTGTTGTAGATGCAGCGGCGTTCCCTTTCCTTCCTCCGGGTCATCCACAATCAACCATATGTGAGTTACCCCGTAAAATCTAGCATTATGATCCACATTACCTCTCTTCACATAAGCTAAGCGAAGAATCAAAACTGACGAGAATTAGACGCATTGGCGGAGAAAATTGCAGATGAAATAATTCTTGGAATGTGATATGATCTAGAGTGATTATACTTCTAGGAATAGATAAAATAGAAAACATAGCTCGAGATATAATTAGAATAGAAAAAGTCTCTTACAATAATATGCCCGTTAATGCATTTGACTATAAGATTTTATGTGGAAGTGTATGCGGATTTTTTTGGTCATAAATCTCCGGCTATTGCTTCCACTAATCTTTTTTCCTTCATATCACAATGATACGAGAGCTCCTTTCTTGCTGCAGAGTAATTCATTAAGTGACTGACTACTGATACCATCAAGCAGAAGTCAGATGTCTGAGGAAAAATGACGTGTTCACATGAGAATCTGATGAGGCTAGTAAAGTCTAAATATCAGCCCAGTTTATACAGTAAGACTACTACTCGCTCTATAAGCTGTTGGAGTACACATCACGTCCGTTTCGAGACTTAAACTTCGGCGTAACATGATTTAAATCCATAGCCTAATTGTGGATCTTCGCACAAGTGACAGGAAAGCTCACAACTTTATTTCTAACCTTTAACTGTAGCCTTTCAACCCCTTCACTAACTTCTAAAATCTTATTCATCTCTCACAACAACCATAACACTCATCACACTCCCCTGCGGTTTCTTCCACTCCCTCAACTTCAACTTCGGCGTTGAACTCTCAAACAACTCCACCCACTCACTCAATTCCCTTTCCCCACTATTAAAACTTTGCGCCATGGTCAGATCCCTCACTCGAAGAGCTGCCTCTTCGGAAGCCGGTACACTCCCCGGCTCCGGAAGTATCGTATCCATAATAATGATACGAGCTCCTGGTTTTTGCAGGGCTTGAGATAAGTGCGAGAGAATGATACGAGCATCTCCTGCAGGCCAATCATGGATAATTTTGCGGAGGAAAAAGATGTCTGTATTCTGTGCTACGGACTCCGGTTGCGGAGTCCGAAAATCATGAGCGGAGAAATTTATGCGTGATTTTATGCTGGTGTCAAGGCTGGATATGACGCCGGGGGCATTGGCAATGGTTTCTGGGAGGTCTTGGACTAGGAATGAAAATTCCGGGAAGTGTGTTGCGAGGAGAATGCTAGCTTGTCCGGTTGAGCCGCCGACCTAATAAAGTCAATTATGTGTTGGAGAGAAATGGGCTTTGTGTATATAGATAAAGGGCTTGGGGTTACTGTGAATAGGAAAGAAGTAGGATAACTAACATCTACAATGTTTGCTTTTCCAAGAGAACCCCAATCAAAGCCCCCCAAGATATGCTTCAAAGCAATCCCCTGGCTATTGTTCAAGCTACGCATATAAGCTGCAAAAGTAGCTGACCTATCCTGCGACTGAGCCAGATGCCCAAAGAAAGGCAACTCAGTACCAAACGCGACATTGTAAGCTGTTTGATTCTTCTCGGAAGTGTCACCCCAGCGAGCAGTCGCTTCTGTAAACTTTTCCGCTGTAGGCGCAGAATACTGTGTCATGAACTTGGCCCAATCAATCAAGTTATTCTTTGTTGCGAATTGTGCTGAAATACGGCTATGGGCAAGGTAATTTGGTCGAGGCTCAGAAAGCATGCCACCCGTGATGGCCATGCGGGCGACACTTTTAAGTCTGCTGAGGGGAACATTTGCGGATTCCGCGACAGTACTGAATAGTATGGGCTCCTCGAGTGGTATGTGGTTGAGTATATTGAAGTGCAAGAGCCATTTGAGACAAGAGAGTTGCTGATACTGCACGTGGTGTGTCAGATCAGGTGTTTCATATCAATCAAATATGCAAGGACAGGTACGGAGGTACTTGGAGTGGTGGTACAAGATTCGAGTGGGATAACAAGCTATTGCAGAAGGATAATTAAAATGAAGCTTACATTTACTTGATGCTGTTCAAGATAGTCATTGGGCTCGCTGACTAAAAGTAAGATCTCTCGAGCAGCATATGAGATATCCTGTCTCGCCTTTTGAGCCAGCTCATTTCGTGAATCATTGACGGGATCATTAGTGCTTGCAAGGAGAGTTTTAGAGGCTGAAGTGGATGAGCTGAGAACTTTTGCACTCGTAGCAATACGGGCTACAAGATTATCGAGAGAATCCTCCATGTTTTGGGCTTGTTGTTAGGGATGGTTTCTTCAATATGTTCTCGTTCTTTTCCTACTTTCGAACCACGATATTGATGATACCTGATAACCTTAATCCTTCCACTTAGCCTTTCTCTAAACCTCCATAAAGGATCCCCACATATGGAAAGTAGCACTCCATTCTCGGACTATAGAATAAGCTCCGTTTGTTGAATACTCCATGTAGAGTTAGCACTAAATGGTTAGGATCTAGAATCTTGATATGTATATAGCGATGAATAATCTATAGAGGTCGTGGTCATTTTATTTAAGACTTAGCCAAGGTATACACATTACCAGGCGCTATAACTCATCAAGCCTGTGCATTAGTGCTTATAGAGAAGCAATGCTTAACGGATAACAATCAATTAGAGTTAGGTTTGCGTAATCTCAAAGCTTTAAAGCTCGGCCCGCTCGTCGGCAATGCATGGGCCTAATGCACGCTACAAATCTGCCCTTAGCCCGGACGTTTCTGATAGGGTTTAGTATACGGAGTGACGTATCCAAGCGGGGTGGATTTACAAATCAAAAAATAATCATGACCCGGCTGCCATAAAGTGCGGTACCATCCTCTTAAATATGGGTCACTACTCCTCTTGTAAGATCAACCTTTTTGTACAGGGGATCAATCCTTCCTAGATTAATATCTGACAGGTTGCAGCTTTTAGCTTCTCGGTTAGCTGGAGCTGGTGACATACTGTTACATTTCTATTCCTTCCAACGCCAGTTGGTATCCTGTATGCCCTGTAAGCACTGAAATTATCTCAGAAACTATTCAATCCTGTAAGAGCTTAACAGTAGTAATGCACACTAAATCATTTTAAGAAGAGGACTAATAAATAGGACAAAGTTCGGACTTTTCGAATTCCGTGTTGAGCTTTCACAGTACGTTTGTCACGCAAAGCTTGTGTCGATAACCTTACTGGAAAGATCGCTAAGATTACGACCGGAAGTCTACAGGCCCTTCTAGCGCTTTAGTTACTGTTCTCATGCACAAACTGAGTAGAAAGTAGTTGTATTTATGCACTTTTTGATTTGGCACGAAACATACAAAATAGAGAGCGGTATCAGAGAGAGCGGTATCAGAGAAAGCAGTGGCACATTAAAATATAGCTCGAGAAATTAGATGTTATTTGTTCAACCTCCACTGCCCTTCTAGCCATCTTGTCTCTCCGACTAGATAAGGGGATACCAGTGACAAAATTTACATAAAGGGTCATGTTGTTTTTTGATCGCCTTAAGTTTACTCAGATTGTCACCATATACAGTATCTAAGCTTTCGTCGCCAAAGCCATTGTTAATATATCTAAGTAAACAGAATGTTAGCTGCCATTTTATGAATGCCTCTACGGGTCAAAGTTGATTAGAGAATATTAAAACTCACGTGCTGTTATCACAAAGACCAGATGTAGATCGTAGTAAGTTGCGAACATTCGAACCAAAGACTTCTGCGGCTGCGTCTAGGGCAGGGTCTGAGTACCATGCTGTAGCGATAGCATTGAAGGTTATGGTGGATCGGAAAGGGTAAGCAGATGAAAGGTCTGAAATCTTTCTGGCTGTCCCTAGAGAATACATATCCAATATCATTGCACTGTTGTTTGCCCCGGGCATTTGCGCGAACGTGAGCCACTCATTCCATACGGATTTCCATGTGGGAACATCCAACTCTGCAAGCCCAACACCCCAAGAAGGTTTGAAGTCCCCCTTTGTGCAGAAAGCATCACCGCCAGAATTCCATTCGTTATAGGGTGTAATAGCTGTTCCATCCACAATGGGCCCGACGGAATAGAGTGGAGCAAACGCTGCTTTTCCAGCTGCTTCTGTACCGTAGTAGAATACTGTCAACAATACGATAGGCGAGTTGTCAGACATCAGGAAGAACATTTCTATGCTCATCTCTGATTTTAAATCCAGCTGGCCCAGTGCTTCTACGAGAGCCTCGAGTTGGGCACTAGTGAAAATCAAAGAGCCTGTCCATGCGTTTAGCAGACTGGAAGCGACGGGATACGATTTCATCACCGCCGATGTAACAATTCCAAAATTAGGCCCGGCGCCACGCATGGCCCACCATAAGTCCGTGTTGCTTGTTGGGGATACAGTGATTGCAGTCCCGGAAGCCGTGACAACATTCATAGAGATTACATTATCAACTCCAAATCCATAGATGCCTATTAAGTTGCCGAAGCCTCCGCCTAGGACAGCTCCAATTGTGCCAACGCAGTTACAAGTACCTGTTGGGACGAGAACACTCTTTTCATACGCGGCATCGACCACATCGGATATCAAGGCACCACCCTGAAATGTGATTTGTGTTTTGGCGGAGTTGAATGAGATAGCTTTGATGCCGGCCAAGTTTATGAGTATGCCATTTTGATGTAAATCAAGCGTCGTGGACCAGCCGTGGCCACCATTCTGGGCAAGAAATGTAATGTTCTGAGCTATGCAGTATTGGACCTATGAAGTGTTCTAGTAAGCGTGTGTTTCTAGAATTATTGCGAATCGTCGGTAAGCTTACAGTAACTAACACATCATTTTCGGTGGCTACATTGACCACAGCGCCAGGAGTTGGGGCATCAAAGTCACTCCATCGTGGGGCTCCAGAGGTATTGTTGACAATTGTTGCTTGAGATGAGAGTAGCGGCTTAAGGCCGGAGATATTGACAGTGGCTGTCGATACATCGGTAAAAAGACAGAAAAATATGCTGGCAATAAGAACTCTCCAAATTGATGGACCCATGATTGAAGATGAAGGAGCAAGTGATGGACGGTTTTGTGATAGATACCCGGGTACTAGTAGATTAGTATATATACATTTTCAGTGTACCCGGTAACAGGGACATTACGATCCTTCTTACTTCGCGTGGGATCTATTAATATACACCACATGTACTTATTCCTGCCTACCCACGAGCTAAGCCCAATAACAACGAACTAATCTGTGCCGCAAATACCGACATTTGGGCAAGACCGGCACGGATAAAAAGATAAATACGACGTTAAGTTTTGGCTTATAGTGACTTCACATCTGATCAGCTCTTAGTGGTTAGCTACTATTGTTCCTTACCAGTATAAATCTTCCGGTTGCATTAAATAGAGTTTTGTATTGGAACCTAAGCTACATAGGCTTACTAAACTACTGTCTTACAATCCTCAGCCAAGGGCGCTTTTATAAGCTTTTCCCCTGCCACAAAGCTCCTCTTTAGGCAAATCGCTGCAAATTTTCTCATTTCTTCTTCAAATTTGCCAATTGATGCCTGAGTGATTCCATCTTCGCTAATTATTCGCGCCAGAGTGGCGGCATCATGCAGTGTGGTCACAGCACCGACTCCTCCTGCTGGCGACATAACATGTATTGCATCCCCCATTACAGTGACTTTAGAGGAAGGCGTCCAGCTCGGCAAATTCGGATTGGAGGAGAATACTCGCATTCCCATCGTCAGAGATGGGTCTTGATGCTCCAGCAGACTTCGGATAGAAGGATCCCATTCACTTGTCAAACGTAGCGACATTTTAAATGCTTCGGATCGCAATGATTCCTCTAGCGCCTCTCCTTTTAATCCAGATGTAGTATTCTGGAAAAGCAATCCCCAGTGTATGTAGTCCTCTGGCAAAGCGTTATTTTCGCTTCGATTCAGGAAGCGAACTTGTTCGCTGACAAGTGTAACAGGTGCTTCCCCGGAGATGATTGTCTGTAAAACCGGGGTCCGATCAAGTACCACCGTCATCCATCTTCGATGCTTCTCCGGGAAGCGTGAGAGAAACTCTGGCCTCAGGAATGTCTTACCATAGATGCAGCACCCCTCAGTGTCAAGGAGTTTGATCTCTGGAAGCAATTGCCGACGGACCTGTGAACGAGCTCCATCAGCACCCACGAGCAATGTGCCTTCCTCAACGCTACCATCTTGAAAGGCAACACGGACGCCTGTGTCCGTGAGCTCATACCAAACGAAATGCTTTCCGAAATGTACCGAGTCTTCAATTCCTCGCATCATTGACTGGCGCAGCATTCCACGGTCAATCGTATACGGCAGAGGTACTCCATCCGGGAGGTAACCTTTGCGACTCGCAATGATATGCGCATCCGTCGCGTTCAAGGTTGTTTCGCCGAGGTTAGTTTCGGCACAGGAAGCCACGAACTCTGACCATGCTTCATCAGACAGGAGATCTCGCAATTTCTTTTGAAATTCGCCAAATATCTTGAGTCGGTAGCCTTGAAGCCGAGAATCTAGTAGAGTATCACGTTCGAAGACGGCAACGTCAATCTGGCTCCGTTTAAGGCCTTGAGCAAGCGCCAAGCCGCCTACTCCACCACCAATAATCAAAACTCGAGGCGCTGACATAATGAGGGGAATTCGAGCTAGCCAAGTTTTAATCTGATATATCACTGTAGACAGTATACTGAAAATCAAACAGGTGCGATCATATATGCTCAACAAAATTCTTTCTACTGTTAGGAGGAAATGCAAACGGAATTCCCAAAGAATGAAACGGGATCGGATAGTCGACCAGACAAAATCACCACTTACTTACTTCTAGATACGCAAAAATTGAAGGAGGGGTTTAGTTCGAGGCTACTTTTTAGATAGTATACATACGCCAATGGATTTTGTGGTATTACTACCAAGGATAACGGAAAGACCCCCGATCAGTGATGGGTTATGATTTTAGTAGAGCTACGAAACCGATAGCTAGATACACTTTTACTCCTAAATGCCATCTTTCTTGTAATACAATCAAAGAGAGCAAGTTTCATATAACCCCGTTGGATTAGAATTGACTCAATATCCGCGGGAAAAGTTAGGCTAACGGGGCTTACGTAGACAACCATCAAGGAAAACATCGAGACTCGGGAGACTGGGAATGAAATTAACAAACTCCGCTATAAGATTTGTGTTATAAAGTATAAGTATGCAGTTGGTTCCAAAAGTGGACAACGGGAATACCCACTTCACTGCATTCATGCAGCCAGCTACTCCCCACTTAATTTTTTTGATTTCAGTTAATCAAAACTGGAGTTGCTACTGCAGTCAGCATGCCATTTGGCTCGCTTTTGGTAAATGAATAATAAGCCGGTGGCGCAGTTATGCAGGGCGCGGAGGGTTCCAGCGATTCTGGGCTACATCCGAATGATTATCAGCTGAGGCACCGAGATTATTCGTGCGAAAACCAATTTCAAGGACTATCAGTCGCAGTGTAGATTTTTGGGCATTCGAGTTCATCTGTTTTTATAATGGATTTTTTTTAGTAGATTAATTTGCCTAATAGGACTCTGCAAAATAGGTTGTGGTAGGATTCCAAAATGAGGTCTGCAAGTTTAGATTCAGAGTGTTTAATATTTTTAATATCGACTTATTCAATGATTTTGGTGGTTTATAAAAATTTTTTACCTAGTATCTATACCTCCAAATCGCCATACAGAGACTAGAAATGCCTAATATTCCAAGGATATATTGGGGTTGAAATCGAGTTCTCAGTTCCTCCTCAATTGAAAGTCCAAAATGTTTAACATCTGTCTTTGAGCTGCCCTTGGGCCAAGTTCCCAAAACTTCATAATCGTTCCAATTCAAGACCATCAGCATCTGTTGATATTTCGCTGCCCTATCAGGCCAGTTATTAGTGACAATGTTGTCTTTCGTTTTGTACCAGCTGCTACAGCCCCGGTGCGCAAAAACAGTCTCGTGAAGTCGTAGCTGCAGCTCCTGATTGTAAGCTTCCACTCTCTCTTTTTTCACTGTAAAGACGAGATTTTCAGCACTTGACACCGCAGACTGAACAACTCCGATCATTGCGCTGATATACCGAGCTTGTGACTCGATCATTAGAAGCACGGAAGAATGGCTAAGGTTTGTGTTGGGCCCGTAAAGCATGGCAAAGTTCGGAAGGGATTCCACTGTCATCCCAAGGTAGGCGCGGCCACCTTGACGCCAGATATCTCTGATATCTCGCCCATCATTGCCTACGATATTGATGCCGTGCATAAATTCTGTTGTGCGAAATCCTGTGGCTAGAATCAAGATATCAAAATCAGTTTCTTCGCCATCAATGATGATGCCTCTTTCAGTAATGCGATCCACTGGCCTAGTTTCCAATTCAACATGTGCTTGATTCATGGCGGGATAAAATTCATCGCTCAAGACGACCCGCTTGCATCCATAGGGGTAGTTAGGTGTTAGCTTTTCGCGCAAAGTTCCGTTGCCCGGAATTTGACGTTTCATCATATCCAGGCTTAAACTTTTTACAAACTCGCCAACTTCTGGCTTGATAATCATATCATGTACCTGGTCTTGAGAGACCATTAATCTTTCTCGATAGCGCTCGCGGATATGAGGAAAGAATTTATATACCAACCTTTGAGCGAGGGAGATATTCTGGTTGTTTCTAGGTAAGACCCAGTTTGGTGTACGCTGGAAGACTGTTAGGTGCGATGCGAGTTTCGCAATTCCTGGAATCATCTGAATGCCTGTTGCTCCGTTCCCAAAAATTGCAATTCTTTTACCTTTAAGTTCCTGACTTTCGTCCCACCTCGAAGAATGCATGACCTTTCCTTTGAAATTGTCAAGCCCAGCTATATCGGGGATGGATGGTATGCTGAGCTGTCCCACGGCAGACACGAGAAAAGGAGTGATGATCGTGTCCTGATGGCACTCCTCTTTCTTATCATAGCTTGTAGACGTAACTACAACCCGCCATATCTTCTCCGTATCACTCCATTCCGCACTTTCAACAGTAGTATTGAAAACTATGTGCTTGAAAAGATCCCATCGACGAACTGTGCTACTCAAATACGCGTGGATCTCTCTTTGTGTGGGATAGGTGCACATCCAATCTGGATTCGGATTAAATGAATATGAATACAGATGACTCCACGCTGTCGAAATTTAGAATACAATGGATGATGACACTATTGGCATTTGAGGTGTGAACTCACCATCAGCGCAACATCCAGGATAACGATTGTCATTCCAGGTACCTCCAGCATCACTTGACTTTTCAATTATTATGAAGTTTCGAGTTCCGTTACGACGTATTAGGTCAACTGCCATACATATGCCTAGATGTTGTCAGTCAGGTCCCGTTAACGAATCTTCCATTATGAGTTCACCTGAAATTCCGGCTCCTATAATCACAACTGGTGCCCCTTTGCTGTTGCTGCTGCTAGCCATTTTCTCACATACAATCTAGTCCCTAGAGATCTTAATCAAAATTGAAACTTTGAACTTCGGGAGTAGCGCGCTGAAATTCTACATTCATGTCTTTGAGATCAGGAAACTATGGGCGACAAGTTGGTTGAATGGAGGAAGGTTATCAAATCTTGAACAAGTTTAAATGCCACAATCTCAAACCTCTATGCCACAGCCCCAAATCTCTTCCATCGCCTCCATATTATCTCAATTTCGCGTTGTCTTCTACACTGTATCACAATAAAGAGTGGAGATTAATGCAAACATCATTTTATTGGCTACCACTTCGGCCTTCAACTGCTGAAGTTTAGTGCCTTTAGAACCTCGAATACTCCAATAGAACCAATCACCAATCACGATAATTCATTATTTTAATATACGACTAATGAAAATCGGTGAAGAATATGATGTTTAGTGTTTAAATAATTAGTTTCAAATATTATTAATTGAAAATGACCTATCGTGATACTTTATTAACTATATCCAATTTGTTATATAAATCGTGATATTTTACTAGCTTTAATAGAATAGGAAAAAGATCCAAGCGTTTATTTAAGGTATCCAAAATAAGTTTAGATCAGAAATTTTGCGCCATTTCAATCGTTCCCCTCCGGTTCGCTTAAGACGGACTTTACGGGGTGCACCCGCATATATACCCGCTTTACTTCATTGCCGAACGATCCAATGAGAGTCTCGGCGGTGTTATCAAAGATGCAGTGAGCAAACACATCACAATTCATGCAGCTAGGTAGTATAATACCTTGTCTTCACTTCCATTCATAAATGGACACCGAAACTCCGAACCTCAACTTCCATCTTCAACCACAACTCCCAAACTGCCCGAATCACAAGCCATAGCTTGCAGTCAAAATGCTCAAATTGGGACGCTCCATTCTGGCTATCGTTGCCGTTATAAATGGTATCGGTGGTTTTATCGCTGACTGGAATCACACCCATGTCTACAATCCACGCTGGCCGCCACACGCCAAGTTCCACAACGGGCAAACATTATCAACGGGTGTGCTTCTCGGCATTGGCGCTCTTTATTACCTCTATCGCCCAAGTACCTCACGTGTTATCGAGAAAGAATCGCTCTACACAGCTGCATTGTTGACGAGTCTGAACTGGGTTGCACAAGTTAGCGCGGCATTTTACCCTGGGTCGCTACCTATAGATCCCGAGTTTGGCGACGGATTCCCGCAGGCGTACATTGCTGCTGTTTTGTTGAGCATGGTTGCTATTGGGACGGCTTTGGAGAATGCGAGGCTCAAAAAAGAAGGGAAGTCAAAATGAGAAGTGACTTGAAGCTTAGGTGTCGGTTTTCATGGCGATGTTGGGATTTTTGAGAATGGGCCAGGAGCTCTATTGATCACTCACCAATAGTAACGCAAGCTTACTTCGCATGAGATTTCGACCCACTTTGATAATGATTCCAACCTATGATCTTCTGCCTTCGTGTGCGCACCCTCACTTGCCATAGATGCACTATATAGAGTGCCAATCGTGCCATCACAATCGCGCAACAGGGCTTTCATATATTAACATATGGGCCAAATATTTATGTACTATATTAAAAACATGAAACTTTTAAAGTCACTCCTTATTAAAACTCTTACCTTTACAAACTACTAAGAAATAAACTAACTCGGTAGCCATGGATCGAGGTATGGAACTCTATATCTTCGGAGACCAATCACAAAAGGTTGATGAAGGACTAAGAACTATCATATGTTCTGATCGTGATCCTATCCAGGATTCCTTCTTAACCAAAGCATATGAAGCGATTCGTTCTGAAATTCACGCTTTACAGCCCAAAGTCTCCATCAAATTTGCAGGCTTACTAGACCTGTTAGCCTTACGAGAAGATGGCTTCAAAAGCGTTCCTCTAGATCACGCCCTTACTGTTATCTATCAAATTAGTCTCTTCATACGGTACGGTTCATATATACACTAGATGAATCCCAATTGATAATGTAACAGTTGCTAATTTCTATATAGATTATGCCATAAAACTGGGCGCTACCCAAAGCCATCAGACTCTTACTTAGCAGGGATTTGTACCGGCACGCTCGCTGCAGCTGCGGTCAGTTATAGCCGGTCTCTCTCCGAGCTTGTACCTGTAGCGGTACAGACTGTCATCATATCATTCCGCGCTGGCGTATTAGCTGCAGAAATCGGGACACAAGTGGCGTTAAACGAGAAGGCCGGAGCTTCATGGGCAGTGATTTACCCGGGATTATCGATAGAGAAGGCAAATTCCGCTATTAAAGATTTCTCAGAATCTCATGTATGCTTGAAAATACATTCCTAGAATCGATTTTTACTAATCAAAACCACAGCGTATTCCTCTGATCTCACGACCATACGTCAGTAGCAGTTCTAGCCGTGGTGTCACAATCAGTAGCCCGCCCAGGATACTAAGTGCCTTCCGAAATCATCAAGATGTAAGTACCTATAAAGGTGTTGAATTGTGTGTGAATGCCCCGTATCATGCACCACATCTCTATACACAACAAGACATCAACAATATTTTAGACCTAGATCCAGTATATTGCTGGCCCGAGACACTCAGAAGCATTCCAGTTCTATCAATAGCGACGGGAGAGGTCATCCGTGCCCGAAATCTGAGAGAATTGCTAGAAAATGCCCTTATAGACATCTTTCTGAGACCTATGCAGTGGGATTTGCTGGCAAACACTCTGAGTTCCATTTTGAAATCTTCAAAAGACACCAAAACCTTGTTGATTCCAATTGCTACAGATGCTACCCCTGGTCTGAAAGCGGTGTTGAAGATGAAGGGAAACACAAAAATTGAAATAGCAGGCCATCCTCTTGGGCTGGCAAATTATGATCAATTTGGTGCCGGCAAGCACGAGACATATTCAAGCGCCGCTGGAAATTTGCCAAGATCCAAAATTGCTATCATTGGTATGTCAGGCAGATTTCCTAGTGCAAACGACACCGCAAAATTTTGGGATATTCTCTACAAAGGTCTAGATGTGCATGAGGTCGTACCTTCGCTCCGGTGGGATCAAAAAACGCATGTGGATAGTTCAGGCATCAGAAAAAACACCAGTGCTACACCTTACGGTTGCTGGCTTGAGGAGCCTGGTCTTTTTGACGCCAGATTTTTTGGCATGTCCCCGAGAGAAGCTCAGCAGGTTGATCCTGCGCAGCGTCTTGCCCTTATGACAGCCTATGAAGCACTAGAGCAAGCAGGCATCGTCCCTGACAATACTCCTTCGACTAAAAGAGACCGAGTTGGGGTTTTCTATGGTGTCACAAGCAACGATTGGATGGAAACAAATAGCGCGCAGGATATAGACACATACTTCATCCCTGGAGGAAATCGTGCGTTCATCCCAGGTCGTATAAACTACTGCTTTAAGTTCAGTGGACCGAGTTATAGCGTGGATACCGCATGCTCATCTAGCTTGGCAGCAATTCATATTGCATGTAACTCCCTCTGGCAGGGCGACGTCGACACTGCAATCGCCGGCGGAACTAACGTGATAACAAACCCAGATTTCACGAGTGGACTTGACAGAGGACACTTCTTATCACGTACAGGAAACTGCAGAACATTCGATGATTCGGCCGATGGCTATTGTCGAGGGGAAGGTGTCGCTACGGTGATTTTGAAACGTCTTGAAGATGCGTTGGCGGACAATGACCCGATTCAGGGCGTGATACTGAATATTTCTACTAATCATTCAGCTGAATCAAATTCTATCACTCGACCGAATGTGGGAGCACAAAAAGATATGTTCCAAAAGGTTCTTAGCGGTGCAGAGCGCCAAGGAGTCAGTTATGTCGAGATGCAGTAAGTCTAAACCTAGACGTTTCCATTTTTACTGAAAGGCACAGGCTAACTTGAGGTTCTAGTGGGACCGGGACACAAACTGGTGACTTTGCTGAGATGTCAAGCGTTTTGGAGTGCTTTGCACCCAAAGTTGGTCAGCGTCCCGCGCACCAACCTCTTTATCTTGGATCTGCAAAAGCAAATGTGGGTCACGGCGAAGCTGCAGCAGGAGTGACGAGTCTTATCAAAGTCTTACTAATGATGCGGAATAACACAATACCTCCTCACTGTGGTATTAAGACAAAGATAAACCACAGATTCCCGGAGGATTTGTTTTCTCGTGGTGTTCGTATTACTGACAAGCCGATCAAGTGGGAGAGAGCCCACGGTCGTCCTCGTCAAGTACTGGTAAATAATTTTAGTGCTGCCGGTGGTAATACTGCGCTGCTTTTGGCAGATCCTCCTCAGAGAGTTGCCGAATCACAGGATGATGCTCGAGCCATGCATTTAGTTACCATCTCTGCTAAAACGGCTTCGGCGTTGAAAGCAAATGCTCAATCTCTTTTGTCATTCCTGACGAGCACTCCCGCTTCTCCCCTTTCACTGTCTTCTCTTGCTTATACCACAACTGCAAGACGTATTCACCATCCCCATCGCATCGCCATAACTGGATGTAGTATCAACGACATAGCGGCCAACTTGTCCAAGGCTATAAATTCCGAGGTTGGAAAAACAAGATCCATTTCAAGCCCATCGATTGCATTCGTATTCACAGGGCAGGGATCTAGCTATATTGGAATGGGAAAGGAACTATTTTACAGCATCTCCTCTTTTCGGGCTGATATTTGTCTTTACGATAAATTGGCGCAAAAACAAGGCTTCCCCTCGATTATGCCCATTATCACAGAAGATAGAGATAAAACTCAGACATCCGATCAGTCTCCAACGGCAGTGCAACTAGCTATTACTTGCTTGCAGATGGCGTTAGTGAGGCTCTGGGCTTCATGGGGCGTTGCCCCCAGTTGTGTAGTCGGCCATAGTCTGGGTCATTATGCTGCATTAAATGCTGCAGGGGTTCTTTCGGCGGCGGAGACGATCTACTTAGTCGGTATGCGCGGTCAAGAGCTTGAAAAGTCTTGCTTACCTCATACGCATCTTATGCTGGCTGTCAAATCTTCGATCGAGACACTCACTTCCTTTTTGAAAGACAAGGAAGTTGAGATTGCTTGTATCAATGGCCCAAGCGAAATTGTCCTTAGTGGAACTCGGGAAAATATCTCAAGTCTGTCTGAGGTTTTGGTGTCACAAAAAATTATGGTGACAATCCTCAAAATTCCTTATGCTTTTCACTCCTCTCAAATGAATAGTATACTCAAAAAATTCGAGCAAACTGCCCAAGGTGTGGCTTTCCACCCACCAGACATTCCAGTCATCTGCCCGCTCTCAGCAACGGTGGTTCGTCTTCCCGGAGTTTTTGGACCGAAGCACCTCGCGGACCATTGCCGCAAACCTGTTGACCTGGTTGGAGCACTCCTTTCTGCAACTACAGATGGTACGATTGCAGACAATACAACTTTCATTGAGATTGGTCCTCATCCTACAGTTTCGCGAATGGTGAAATCAATTCTTGGCAATCATCCAACGGTCTTAATGTCACTCGCGCGTGACATAGGAGCTTTGAAGACTCTGACGGACACAATATCATCATTGTACCTGGCAGGCGCCGAAATCAAGTGGAAAGAATTCCATAGCAATTTCCCGTCATGCCAGAAAGTTATGGAGCTGCCGGCATATCAATGGGATCTCAAAGACTACTGGATCCAGTATGTCAACAATTGGTCACTTCGAAAGGGGGACCCAATTCCTGAGCCTCAAGCGGCGCAGGATGAACACTTGGAAATTTTAAGCACGACAATCCACGAGGTCATTTCCGAAGATATGGGAGAACAGTACGGTTCAATAATTGTGGAGTCTGACATCCATCGTTCCGATCTCCATCCGTTGGTTCAAGGACACAAAGTGAATGGCATCCCACTTTGCACACCGGTAAGATTTTGCTCGTCTCTAAATTCTCTTTGGCCTGTAGCTTTCACATCTGACACAGAAAACAGTCTGTGTACGCCGACATTGGACTTTCTATAGGCCGGTATCTCCTTAAAAAGTATCGACCAGTCATGGAAGACCAACAAATTGATATTGCGAACATGGCGGTCGAGAAGGCGCTTATCGCTCAAGAGAAGGGGCCACAGCTACTTCGTACATCGGTAGATATTGACTGGCATCAAAAGAGCGCCAGTTGCGAATTTTCTTCGGTCGATGTAAGATAATTTCCCTGATCTTCCTCTTTCATATTTTACTGACCTCTAATAACTCTAGGAAAACAAGAACACTGTCATCGTGCATGCCAAGTGTAACATCTTATTCACCTCTTGTCTTGATCCTCAATGGCTGGAAGATTGCGGAGTAGAATTCGAATCTCGAATTAAGCAACTCGAAGCAGGCCTTGCTACAGATCAATGTTATAAATTTAACAAAACAATGATATATAGGATGGTAGATACACTAGCCGAGTTTGACCCAGCATACCGCGCATTGAGTGAGGTCGTTCTGAACAGCTCGTCCATGGAAGCAGGTAGCAAAGTCGATCTAAATGCTGTAAACAATACTGACAGTACTAATTTTCACACACACCCCGCCTATATCGATGCGTTTTCTCAATCCGCTGGATTTGTAATGAACGCCAATGACAACTCGGATCCCACCACTGAAGTATTTGTCAACCACGGCTGGGGCTCTTTCCGACTTTTTGAGCCACTTCTTCCGGACAAAGTCTATCGGACATATGTCAAAATGGTGAAGGCGCAAGGTTCTATTTGGGAAGGTGATGTAACGATACTTGACGGTAATCGACCCGTTGGAAGATTTGAACAGATTCAGGTAAGCCTGGAACGTCCTCCAAATGGCAAGCCCATTCGTGAGAAACGAAAATATGCTAAACTTGACTTTAGCTTCAAGGTGTCCCTAAACGACTTTTGCATAGCATTCTACTGTCGGCAAGTAGGCAACAGTCGCAGAAGGATACTTCTAAATATCCTATATTTGAGCCATCTGTTATACATCTGGATACGCCATTGACGCCACCCTCTTCCGCAAATGGCATTTTAGTCACCAATAATAACATAGACAGTAACCCCAGGCAAATCGAGGCGAAATTAGATGTGATAAACAAGGTACTACATGAAAAGTACGCCAAAATCATGGAAATCATCTCCGAGGAGACTGGGATCGATAGTCACGAGTTGAATGATGAAACTGACTTTGTAACAATTGGAGTTGACTCGCTTTTGTCATTGATCATCACAAGTCGCCTTAACGAAGAAGTGGACTTTCATACGAGTTCTGGATTCTCTCTTTTTGATCAGTTCTTTACCGTGGGTGAGTTGAAAAGGGGCTTGGCACAGTCTATGGGGCTATTGCCTGAAAATGGAAGCCCAAGTCTCTCTTCCACTGGTGATGCTCAATCAACTGCTCATTCTCCAATGATGACGGGAACACATCTAACAACACCATTATTCTCTCAAGAAACTTCACCACAACCTTTTCTCTCGTCAGATAATCTAAGCACGATGCACAAATCACAAATCCGCCAGCCCAGTTCCGTCGTCCTTCAAAAGGCACACACTAGCATTAATTTTCGGTCACTGTTTTTATTCCCAGATGGATCAGGCTCGGCGTATTCCTACGTCAACATTCCACGAGTAAATGATGATCTGACGGTTGTTGCTCTCGTATCGGCATATATGCGTGAACCAGAGGAAATGAAATGTTCATTCGACGAGCTCGTCACAGGCTTTCTCAATGAAATAAAAAAGCGACAGCCGACTGGACCGTACATGCTTGGCGGTTGGTCGTCCGGCGGTGTTTTTGCATATCGTGCGGCGCAGAGGTTAATTGCGGAGGGCCAGAGAGTGGAAGATTTGGTGATAATCGATTCTCCCGAGCCAAAGGGCATGGATCGATTGCCCCAGCGCTTTTATGATCATTGTAGTGCCATTGGTATATTTGGACAGATCAAAACAGGTGGTGGTCCAGTCCCTGTGCTACCAAAGTGGCTGATCCCGCATTTTAATGCAACTATTGATGTGCTACATGAATACTGGGCCGAACCTTTACCACTAGGTCTCACACCCAGAACTTTGATTATTTGGGCAGGAAAATGCACTCTTGACGGTATCAAAAATCCAAAGCTTCCACCGAGTGCTGATGACACAGAGGGTATGAAGTTTTTGACCGAGCAACGGACTGAGTTTAGCGCCGGCGGTTGGGCCTCTCTTTTCCCAGGTACCAAGGTAGAGGTTCACGTAATCGAAGAAGCAAATCACTTTTCAATGATGGTAATGACACCCTTCTAATCTAACGTAAGATCGCTATTGATATTCTCTTTTTTAGAATGGCGAGCACGCCGCATCCTTGGCTGAAATCATTCGTTCAGCCACGTCCAAACCAGAGCCATTCGCACATACTTAGAAAACTAATATATTTTAATTATTTCGTTGGTTGATATATGTTTAACGAAGCATATATTGTCAGATATGCGGAGCAGGAAGTCCAGGGGGCCGGAGTTTCAAGATAAAGGAGGAGAGGTAAAGAATAAGGATATCGTGCTAAAGAAGCAAAGCTTTACAAAGTATTGTATTCGACATTTACCGACAGGATAACTAGCCTAACATATTGTCGCGAAATTAAAGCAATTATCAAAACTTGACTGAAATAAAAGAGGGACTTATCGATATATACTTGGCATAGATAAGAAAGAGATGTGTAACGATCTGGTCGAGGCAGTGGCTGTCTGAGATTTGTATAATTGATAGTAGTAGGTTAAGGTTATTAATTATTGGTTATTTATTTGAAAGTAGATTTGTTATTAGATTAAATAGAATATAAATAAATTAATTGATAATTAAGTTGAGTATGAAGTTTTTAAATTATAAAATTATTTTGATTATATATTAATAAATGGAAAAGAGTTTTATAGAATTTAAAAGTTTTAAAAGGTTTTTGAAGTTTTAAAAGTTTTTTAAGTTTTGAAGGTTCTTTATTATATGATCGATTTTAAAGTTTTTTTTTTTCTTGGAATATTTATCTTAGGAGTTTTCCTTTAGGAATCTTTGTTTTAGGATATGATATCCTTTAGAATAATTGTTTTATTATAATCGATTAATTAGAATATTTACTATTAGTTATGAATTGTATTATATTATTGTTATTATTTTAAATCTTTATTTGATATCTAATTATAAATTACTTCGAGAAATCTAAAGCATTTTTATATAATTTAGATGATAAATCTTGTAACATTTTGAGTACTATTATTGTTTCAAATACCGATTCGATAAGTAACGATATTATATTATAAGAAAGTTAGAATTATAGATCAAATATATAAAGGTTTTAGTTAATCAATCACATAACCTTTTGTAATTAGATATAAAAGAAGAGCCTTTTATCTCTTCTTTTCACAATAATCAATCTTCTATATATATACATTTGAATCCATATAGTATCAACCCCAAAACCATTATGAACCCTGTTTTACCCATAAGTGATATATTACAATGTAATCTAATTCAGCCTTCTCTTCCAATTCCCTCCTTACAGCATGCTATCGGGACGCACGTATCTCGACCTACCACTTTTATAATATCTTCTATTACATTATAGTCTAACAACCTGTAACGATCTGGTCGAGGCAGCGGCTGCCTGAGGTTTCGTGTGGTTGGTAGTTGTGGGTTAAGGTTATTAATCACTAGTTATTTATTTGAAAGTGAATTTGTTATTAGATCAATTGAAAGGTAAGTAAACTAATTGATAACTAAGTTGAGCATAAAGCTTCTAAACTATAAAACTATTCTGATTATATATTAATGAATGTAAAGGAGCTTTGTGAAGCCTTAGAGCTCCAAAAAGCTCCTGGAGCTCTAGGAGCTTTCGAAGCTTCCAAGGTTCTTTATCATATGATTAGGATCAGATTATATGTCCGAGCTTGCTAAAGGTGGGGAGATCATATGAGACGATTATTATACAAATTTGTATACAAATCGCTCTGCTTTTCGATAAGGCCTAAGCTCATATGGACAAGTTGATTGTTGCCTCTCAACACATCATAATCTTAATCGTAAATCGTGACAGATAATCCCTTCTTTAAGATAATTGATATCCTAAAGGAATTGTTTTAGAATAAATATCCTAAAGTAATCTTTATTCTAATTTATTTTATAAAGTTAAAACATTTGTTCTATTATAATATAATTATCTAGAATATTAATTCTAAAAGTTCTAGGTTTTTAATTATAATAATAAAAAACCTTTTTATAATTAACAATTAAATCATTAACATTTACAATATTATTATAATCTTAAATGTAGATGATTTGTAACAATTTGATCTACAAAACGGATTTTATTTTATCAAAATAAAAAAAAATAAAGAATAAAAAACAGTATTTAAAATTCAATATAGATTATATAAATATTAGATTATATTATTTGAATTAATAAATACATTAATAATATATATATATTTAATCAATAATATTATCACGATTTACAATTAAGATAAGGATATATTAAGAGACAGTAGTCAATGTATTTATATAAGTTTAAACCTTATCGAAAAGCAAAACAATTTGTATATAAATTTATATAATAATTGTTTTATATGATCTTTTTACTTTTAACAAATTTGAATATATAAGTTTGATCTTAATTATATAATAAAAAGTTTTGAAAGCTTCAAAAGCTTTTAGAACTTTAAAAGCTTTTTGAAGTTTTAAAGTTTTATAAAGTTTTTTTATATTCATTAGTATATAATCAGAATAGTTTTATAATTTAAAAGTTTTGTATTTAATTTAGTTATCAATTAATTTATTTACATTTCAATTGATTTAATAATGTATTTATTTTCAAATAGATAATCAATGATTATTAACCTTAATTTATAACTATCAATCATACGAAAACCTGAGGCAGCCACTGTCTCGATCAGATTGTTACAAATATATTAAAAAAATATCTAAATATTTATTATATATATTATTTAGATGATATTTTAATGTTTTTAAAAATCAAAGAACAATATATTAAGAATATTTATAAAATCTTATAATATTTAAAAAAAATTAATCTTCAATATAAATCTAATAAATATAAGTTTTATATTATAAAAATAAAGTTTTTAGAATATATTATATTTTTCAAAAATCTCAAAATAAGTTTTAATAAAGTAAAAATAATCAAAGAATAAAAACTATCAATTAATATAAAGAAAATATAATTCTTTTTAAAATTCATTAACTTTTATCAACGATTTATTAAGAACTATTCGAAAATAATTATCTTAATAATTGAAATCATTAAGAAGAATCAAAGAGAATTCCGATGAATAAAAACAATACAAATAGTATTTGAATATCTCAAAAAAGTATTTACAAAAGAATCAATTCTCAAAACATTTAATTCAGAATTATTAATAATTGTAAAAATAGATTTTTTAAATTATATAATAAAAATAATATTAAGTTAATTTAATTTAATTCAAATAAGAAATAATAATCAATTATTTATTATTTATATAAGTTATCATTAATTGAATTAAATTATAAGATATATAATAAGAAATTATTAACAATAATAGATACTTTTAAAAAATGAAAAATGTATTTGAAAGAATCAAAATATATAATATAATATAACGATCTAGTAGAGATAGTGACTGTCTCAGGTTTTCGTATAATTAATAATTGTAGATTAAGATTAATAATCATTGATTATCTATTCGAAAATGAATATATTACTAAATCAATTAGAATATAGATAAACTAATTGATAATTAAATTGAATACAAAACTTTTAAATTATAAAACTATTCTGATTATATATTAATGAATATAAAAAAGTTTTATAAAGTTTTAAAACTTCAAAAAACTCTTGAAGTTTTAAAAGCTTTCGAAACTTCAAAGCTTTTATTATACAATTAGAATCAGATTATATATCTGAATATCATAATTTATAATTAAAATAAAGATATATTGAAGGGCAATAATTAATATATCTATATAAGCTTAGATTTTATTAAAAAGTAAGACGATTTGTATACAAATTTATATAATAATTATTTTATATGATTTTTTATTTTTAATAAGCTTGAATATATAATCTGATTTTAATTATATAATAAAAGTTTTGAAAGCTTCAAAAGTTTTAAAGCTTTAAAATTTTTAAAGTTTTAAAGTTTTATAAAACTTTTTATATTTATTAATATATAATCAAAATAATTTTATAATTTAAAAATTTTATATTTAATTTAATTATTAATTAATTTATTTATATTCCAATTGATTTTATAATATATTTATTTTCGAATAGATAATCAATGATTATTAATTTTAATTTATAATTATTAATTATATAAAAACTTAAAATAATTGTTATTTCAATCAGATTGTTATATTTTAAATATTATTATAATTAAATTATATATAATATAATGTTTTTTAATCAATAATTTATCAAATTGTTTTTATTTAATCTAATCAAGACTTTTGTTTAGATTATTACTATTTGTAACGATCTGATCGAGGCAGCAGCTGTCTCAGGTTTTTGTATAATTGATAATTGTAGATTAAGATTAATAATCATTGATTATCTATTCGAAGATGAATATATTATTAAATCAATTGAAATATAAATAAACTAATTGATAATTAAATTGAATATAAAACTTTTAAATTATAAAACTATTTTGATTATATATTAATAAATATAAAAAAACTTTGTAGAGTTCTAAAGCTTCAAAAAGCTTTTGAAGTTTTAGAAGTTTTCGAAGCTCCTAAGACTTTTTATTATGTGATTAGGATCAGATTATATATTCGAGTTTGTTAAAGATAAGGAGATCATATAAGGCGATTATTATACAAATTTATATACAAATCGCTTTGCTTTTCGATAAGATCTAAGTTTATATAAATACATTAACTACTGCCCCTCAATATATCCTTATCTTAATCGTAAATCGTGATACTATTATAGAATATAAATAAACAATTCAAATATCTATTTCTGATTTATTCTATAAAAATTATAATAAATATCAAGTTTTTATTATATAAACTAATCTTTATTATATTTTTAATAAACAATTTTTTTTAATTTTTATATAAAGAATTTTATAATTGATTTTCTTTTTTTATAAAATTATATTCAATTAAATCGAATTATTTTTTAATAATCTAATGATTAAGATTATTAATAATCAATTAAACAAAAGTATAAAATTTGAAATTTATTATTTCTTTTTTAATTATAAATTGTTCAGATAAGAATTCGATAAAATATTTAAGGAAATAAACCCCGATTATATAATTGAAAAAGTATTACAATAATTTAGATAGATTGAATCAATTATAATTTTATAAAGAATTAAAAAATATCATTAAGAATGAATTAACAAAAGCTTCGAAATTATCTAATCTTTTTAAATTAATTGAAACCTTCATTTTTATTAATAATCGATTTTATAAATAATGAATAAAGAAGAAAGAAATCATTTAAGAAAATAAGAAGTTTTAAAAACTTTATCATTAAAATAAGTATTATAATATTAGTAATCTAATGAAATTGAATAATATTGAATAATATTATATAAAATTAAATAATCTAAATATTAATAAGAAAAAGAGATATAAAAAAAATAACTTATATTATATTTATAAAAAAAGTAGATATATATTTTGAGATTGTTTTCAAAAGAAGAAATTATTTATTATAAAAGATAAAAAATAGATAAAATTTAAGAACAAAAGATAGAATTTTTGAAAAATAAAGATTCTAAAAGGAAATTCGAAGGAAATAAGATTACTAAAAAAAGATCT